GTATGTATTGTTCAGTTCTGTATCTGACTCTATAGAGAAAGGCATGTTGGGTAGTTATTTGTCCTTTGTAGGTAACTAGGATAGTAGTAGTTGGTAGGTATTTTACTGTGTCATTTTCAGTCACTTTTCTATTGAATCTTCTCACATTGATTATCGGTAAAGTAGATATTGGTGATACTAACTCTAGGTTGTTGATGATTTCTTGTTCTGTGATATTTGTTGGGATTTGTTTAATTACACATTTTTTGTAAATAAATGAGCTTGGTATAAAGGCGATTAGGTTGTTTTTTTTGAAGTATTCGAGTTTGAGAATTGAGTTGGCAACTTTGCGGTTGTGTGTAATTATCGCTATTTTATTTCTACCTGTTCTGATGTATTCGTCGATTGAGCCATTAGGGAATAGCGGGGTGATATGTTTAGCAATTTGAATTGGGGTTATGATTGTTTGATTTAGGTTAATTTTGTTATCGAGTTCAGCGGGTTGTACAATTATTTTGTATGGGGGAGGTATGTCGTATGGATATTCTTCAATTTTGGGGAATTCTATTCTTTGTGATTGTGGGGGCTGAATTTCTCCTAGTTTAGATTGTTGTGATCCTTGATTAAATTGTAAATTAGTTTCAGTATTATGGTTTCTTTTGGGGAGTTTTTCAGGCAGTGTTATATTATTTTCATTTAGGAGTCTTTTGTTTCTAGTTTGCTCTGGTTGAGGTAACATTTCAACATCTGTTAGGTAGCTGTTATTTAATTGGTTTTTTTCGTCGTTTATACTCATCTCGGGGACGGGTGCTGGGGGGGCCAGAGCTGGCCGCCCCACGAGATGAGTTATTGAGGTTAGGTTCTTATCCAAAAAAAAATTAATTAAGAAAAATAAAAAGTAGAAAAAGAAGGGGATGATGATAGATAGATAAAGTGTTGAAGGATAGTTAGAGGATAGTTATTGGATTGATCTTACCAATAAAAACCAGCTTTGATTATTATAATTATATTAAAAATGTAAGAAGGTGGAATCGCATGTGCGTCCGAGGCGCCCCCAGGTCACTTTCTAATTTTTGTTTCGATGCAAATCTGAGCTTTGCCGTGCCATCACCAGATGTCTCTTTTTAATGGCCCTCGTTATGGCGGAATTGATGCATTTTCCAACACTGTATTTCGGTTTTCATATTGAACTTTGATTGGAAGATTCTCGTTGGTAAAGTCAACAAATACTGACGTTTATATTTTTACTTTTGAGAATCTTTACCCATACATTTTAATTCACGTTGGTGTGTACAAAATAAAATATTTATAGGTACAATGCAACAAATTAAATAGTTTATAGGTATAGGCACATGCTCATGCTGTGATTGTGATATATTAATGCAGTGTTACTTGTAATGAGAATTAATGTGATTTTTTCATATTTTGAAATATCATTTATGTAATAGAAAAATAAAATTATAGGGCACAAAATAGAGGCTTGTGGGACCGTTGCTAATATCTGTTGTTGGCTTGAATAACTACTATTTAGCGATAGTTTAAATGTTCTATCATTCAAAACATTTATGCTACAATAATTTTTGTAATGTAAATTGACAGGTCAGTTATAAGATATAGCTTATAATCTCTTATGCGGCACAGTGTTGTTTCAACGTATAAAATAAACATGGCTATTTTGGTTTGAAACATTGTACATATGTAGTCTGTTTGGTGACATTATCACCTAATTTTCGCATTTTGCTTTCCAGGTCTTTGTTGGAATATTCGTACTGGTCATGTTGGTTCTGACCACCCAGCGGGGCCTCTATAGGATTATGCTCGGTTGCCCTTCTGGCTACGGGTCTTTTGTTGCGCTCCGTTACCCATCACATTATATTCCGTCGTGAAAACATTATTGATTGACACGGTTACTTGTTCACATACAACTTGATTGAGCTTCTTGGAACGCAGGTCGACAAGAGGTCGACTGCGGGTAGGGTCCCCGCCACATCGAGAGATTACGCTCTAAGCTAAAATATCGACAAATAATTGTTGTTGATATAGAAAACTCTTAATAATTATCAGTATAGCAAGAAATGCAGATTGAAAGTAGAAGCTAACGAAAGTTGAATATTGAAAAGCGGTCTATTACATTTAAAATAAGGACAAATAAAGTCACCCGAAGCCAATTAAGGCGCGCATATTTCTATCTCGATGATAATATAATATACATTAATGAAAGAAATCGCCCGTAATTTGTAGATATACAATGCACTTATATTTAAAATTTATACGTTTAAAACCCGTGGGAAAAGAAAGCCATGCACTTTTCATGCTATTTAAATTATAAACAACTAAAAATATCCATGAACAATTAGGAAAGCTTATGGGAACTAAATTTGTTCGGTTATTATGACGCTTATGCCAATTTACAAAAACTTAGCCGCGTGTATCGTAGTTCGTGATTCTACTTTTCCACGCTTGTAAAAATAATAATTATCTATATTTTAACGAAAATTATGTCCGTTGAAACGATCTTATCGAAAGGGATAATAATTGTGGATGAAACATTTGACAAAATAGTTACAGTATTGGACCCCTTGGAAAACGATGGGTCGACGATAAGATTCTCAGCGGGCAGCGGGGGAATTGGACCGACCGAATACAGTCGTTTGCTTATTCAGTGCATGCGATGCTAAGGAGATCGCGCGCAAACGTTGCTTAGAGCATTTATCGCGCGAGAGTGCTGCTGAATGAAATGTTCCAACATTTGAATATTCCCGATTGATTCCTGGAAGCTTTGCTATCGCCAAAGTATTTAGGCTCGCCTTTTGTTTTCCTTTTATGAACGAACCTGTGCAATAGGTGGCAATCGTGTACCTGAGTACCGAGTTGTGCTCATTGTGATCCAGTCAGTTGGATCGAGCCAACGGAACACTGGGCGAAAGAAAAGCAAAAAAAAATAGGGACGACCGACAGATGAACGCACGACGCGGAGTCGACGAACTGGGACACGATGGAATTAGTCGACTCCTGCAGTGTAGTGACCCAGGCGAGCTCAGTCGGATAACTGTATTCCCGCGAGCGCGTGTATCAATTTTCCACTGATCGCGCGGCAGCGCACTTGGCGCACGCCCCCGTCGGTCGGCGACAGCAGCAGCAGCAGCGCCGAAGCGCGATCTTGAATGCTCGTCCGCGCGGCTCGGCTGAGAAACGCCATAAACCCCGTTCCCGGGACTTGGCAATTGGCCTTTCGCGCCTCGGGCGGCAAACCGGTTGCCCGCGGCCCGTGCCAGAAGCTGAGCGGCGGTCGCGGGTCAGGCCCGCGAGAGCGAATATATAGGCCGGCGTCGTCTCCGCGCTTTTACTTTCGCGCGCCGTCCCCGCGCCGATGATCGCGCCGGTCTCGCCAGCTAACGTCGTCGACGACGCGCCTCCCCCTTTCGTCTACCTTGCGACGCCTTCTGGTTTCCGGCGCTCGCTTCTACGTGGTCGTCGGTCCACGCGACCGACGGATTTCCGCTCTCGACGAGGAGGCAGATCACGGGACCGACGGCCGATTTCCAGCGTCGCGTTCGGTTTTCGAGTTCGAGTGTCGTCGAGCGTGCCGCCAGCGGTCCGCGCGGAGGAAAAACCGGCGGTCCCGTACGGATCGCGTGGCGCGGACCTAACGCGCGCTCCGGATGAGCGAATAGGGGGTAGCTCGGGGCCGCGGCGGCGCGTAAGGCGGCGAGCAGCGCTCGCGCGCGCAGTCCGCGCCGAGAACTCGCGGGCGACGCTCGCAGTGCCGGGACGAGTGCGCTCGTGCAGTTAGTCGTGCTCTCGAGAGCGAGAGAGAGAGAGAGAGAGAGAGAGAGAGAGAGAGAGAGAGAGAGAGAGAGAGAGAGAGCGCGCGCCGGAGAGGAAAAAAGGAAAAACCTCGCGGCGGGGTGGTGGTGCGAGCGGGAAAGTGGGCCAGTAGCCAGCGAGCCATTGTCACGGCGCGGCAAGACTCTCGCGAGGCCGAGGATGAGCGGACGACGCGAGGCGTCAGCGAACGTTCGCCAGCGCCTTCGCGCCACACGCGAGCGAAAAGAAAGCCGCGCGCGCCCGCGCGACGCTCCAATTGGAATGGGCGAGCGAGCGCGAGCTTCCGCACGGAGCGCCACGTAGAATGCAGGTAATTGCACAATAATAAATCAGTCCGCGGCGAGAGAGAAGAGAGTTAGCGGGGCCCGCTAATTATCGCGCCGCGCGGCCGGATCGTTTCCGCTCGGCCGAGCGCCCGACATCTCGCGCTCGCGCTCCACGTGCGTTCCGCTCGCCCGCGGCGGCCGGCCGTTATCGCGCTTCCTGCGCGCGGCTCGATCGCGGGCCGTTCGGACTCGACGGACGCGGCGCCGAGATCGGAGACCGTCTCGCTCGTCTACGAGGAGATCGTCTTTCCGCGAGATTCCGCGCGAGTTTCGCATCGGTAAGAGTATACGGGCACGCGCACGGGTCGCTCGTCGCGATAGGCGCAGTCGCGTGTATCGCGGAGCTCGGTGTCGTTTTCGCGCTGCACTCGTCGCGCGGTCGTTGCGCGAAACGGCCGTGCGCGCGCCAGTGAAAGCACGGCGTCAGCAATTTCGACAATCTCCACGACCACCGATCTTAACGAGCGCACAGCGGACGTTCGGCTCGGGGCCATACCAGCCGGACGAACATTTGCGCACGACAGAGGCAAACGAGGAGAATTTCAAACGGTAATCCCGAAAAAGCGAGCGCGCGGAGGCGAAAAGCCGACTCCCAAGCGCGAACCGTTAATTTTTCCCAGGCTCTCTTCAGCAGGACGGCGGCGCGCGCGTTGGCCCGTCGCGCGAAATTCGATTTGCTCTCGCTCCGCGGCTCTTGCAACTGTAGCGCAGCTCTCGGCGCGCGACACGTACGCCCGAGCGGCGTGTTTCGCACCCCAAATTCAACTGCGAAATTCCGCGGAAGCCAGTGCGACCGAACAGCGTTTCTTCGAAAAGAGAGAGAGAGAAAGCGAAGGGGGGTCGCCTGAAACGCAGCATTGATTTCAGACGAGCCGGGCAAGCCGAAGCAGCACCAGTAGCAGCAGCAGCAGCAGCAGCAGCAGTGCTCGCAGCGAAAGATGGGCAACGCGCGAGCGCAACCACAGCAGCAGGGAGGAGCAGGTAGCGGCGGCAGGTCGCCGTGCCTGCTCTACTTTATCAGACGCTCGTGGAGAGCGGCTTTTCTGGTCGGCGGCGAGAAAGGCGGCGACGATACCGACGACTGCGCTACCGACCTGTCGAGCGCCTCCAGGTGCAGCGGTTGCGCTTACCATCGGCAGCTCGACCTCGACAGGTACGTCGCGTCCGGAGTGCCGCTGACGCAAGGCGAAGTCACCGCGGACGCGCAGTTAATTGATCGGCGCTCTCCAGTTCGATGCACTCGCGCGCTCTAGCGACCGGTGCCTCTCGGGCGAACGTCGAGCAACGGCGCGCGACCTCGAGCGCGTTCGGCGCTGCACGCCGACAAGGGCAAGGTCCGTCGGAATAACCCCGAAGCAACGGTATATCGCGCAAGTGCCATTGCCCTTCCGCGTTTCCTCGGCGATCGCGCGTCGAAGCGCACGAAGGGATGACGAGCCCGCGGTGCCGGTCTACGCCGGAAGGCATCGCGCATTCACTCGAGGGGGACGAGGCGGCCGCCCCTCGCCGCGGGAGACGCATAGTCGAGTGCGCTCGATCTCGGCTGACGCATCGCATTACGCGCGAGCGGCGGAGAAAGAGAGAGAGAGAGAGAGAGAGAGAGAGAGAGAGAGAGAGAGAGAGAGGCAGCAGGTGTCGAGCCGCGAGAATACCGTACGCGAGCCTCAGTCGCGCGGCCGGCGCGCCAGCGGTGCAACCTGCCAACGCTCCGTCCGTGCTGTCGCTCGTTTCGGCTGGTGGCTGTCGACGGGATGGGCAACGGCTGACCTCACCCCTTCGTCTCTCTATCTCTCTCTCTCTCTCTGTCTCTGTCTCTCTGTCTGCTCGACTTGGCGGGAGAGTTCCGCGCGCCACGAAAAATCGCCCAGGTATGCGACACTCATTGAACTCCTCACCGCGAAATATCGATCGCGACTCGTGCGGGCTCTCGGAACCCAGCACAGCCGGTGCGTAGCGCGCGTCCGCCCGATTAAGGGAGGTCGACAAACCCGATCGCGCGCGAAAGCGAAGCGCGACGTCGCGCTAATGACAGGCGCGCGCATCGACGAGGCGCAGCAGAGAAAGAGCGCCCCGCATTGTTCCCGCGGACGCCGATTTCACTCGTGTGCCGGCTCCCACACGTCCGCGGATCGCTGCGCTAATCGGCGCTCGATTGCGAAGAAACGTATCGATAACGCGCGTGCTTGCCAGCCCCCCCCCCTCCCGCGCAGTTCCTTGTTCCTGCCCCCTTGCTGCGTGCGATGAGTTTCACCGCGGGCTCGCGCTTCCCGTGCTCATGAAATCGCGTGGGACTCGTCATATTCTTGAGAACGTTCGCGAGGTCGCGCGCCCCGCGTCGTCGCGCTTCGACGTCTTTTTTGCCTTTGTTTGGCATTAATAAACCGGAGCGCGAAAGTAGCGCCGCGCGGAAAACCGAATCGGATTTCACTGGCCGATCTCCAATTAGAACGAGAGGAAAAACGCCGCAGTCCGCGAGCGCGCTTTCCAACCGCGAGTTTCACTCGCGACGCCCGTTCGCGCGCGCCTCGGATCGTTATTGCTCGTATCGAATCTGTTTATCGCGGGCGGATCGATGTGGGAGCGCGAGGCCGTGCCGAGTCAGTCGTCTCTGCGATCGCGCAGCGCCCGCGATTCGCGGGCGGACCAGACGACAGTCGAAACTTTTTCGCACACGCCGATCGCTCGAGTCGGGCAAGCTCTCGTCGAAGTGGACGCCCGAGCGACGAACGTTTCTCGAAGAGCAGCGCGTCCGAGAGCCGCGTCCGACGCGCGGCCGAGGCCTGCCGGAATCGCCGGATACGCAAGTACGTGGTAGGGAAAAGAAGAGCCGGTCGATCGCACCGAAGAGAAATTGCATGGAAACGGCGCGTCGAATGAGACACGCGACGCGCAACGACGAGGCTTCGCTTTGCTTGTTTTCCACGAGTCACCGTGAACGAGCGCGAGAAATCTGCGTCGGTTGTCGGCTCCCGGTTCGCCGCGTAGCCAGGAGAGGCGCGAGGCCGCCTCGTCGCGGTCCCCGGGGACGGTCTTCGGATCGGCGCCGGGCAGCCGCGGCTTCCAGCGAATCGAAGCGTTATCGCTCGGCGCCCATTAACGCGAACGCGCAGCGCCACGGCAAGGTGCTTCCCACGTTCGGTTGCTCCTTTGGAAGCCTCGCGCGCTCGCGCCGTGAGAAGCGACGACGGCGACGACGACGACGACGACGCGCGCGTTCCCTGCGACAATTATGTCGCGTCACGCCGGTGCAGCGTAATCGAGCGCTCGTCTCCGCGAGCAGATGTACATATGCGCACTCGTTCGGACGAGCGGGAGAGACGTCGCTTCCGCGAGCGACCGATGCGCGTGTAACTGTAAGCGTCTCCCTCTTTTCTCGCTTCGCATCCGTGTCTCTCTCTCTCTCTCTCTCACTCTTCGTCTTACAGTTCTCGCGACTCGGCCGCAAAACAAACAGCGCGAAAAAGGGAAGCAGCGGCGGCAGCGGCGGCTAACGGTTCTTTAGGGTAGCTTTTTCCCTACCGGACAGACCGCATTTTTCGCCGCTTACCTCGCCGCTCGCACGCACGCGGCACTCGTCGAACGTCTCGATTTCGCGCGCGATGCAACGTAGAGAGAGAGAGAGAGAGAGAGAAATAGAGAGAGGAGGAAAAGTAAACGCGCCGCGCGCTCAACGAGCCGCGGAAAAAATGGACGAAAGCAAGTCGGACACGCAGCCTCGACCTCAAAGCGCTCTCTCTTCCTCTCCCCGATCGGCCTCCGCTACGTCGCAGATTAGCGCGGATCGACAACTCGTCAGGGAATCGAGGTCGCGAATAACGCCCACCTCCGGCCGCGCGCCCCTCGGGGAGTCCGTCGAAGCGAGGGCCGTCCGAGCGGCTGCTGTCGCTTGCCTCGCGGTCGAGATCCGCGGGGCGCGGGTGGGCGCGTCGCGAGCACGTGGCCGCGGCGAGCAAGCTGCAGCGCGCGCCGAGGCATTGACCTCCGCGACGCTGCTCCCGCGGCAGCGCGGGAGCCGACGATGACGGGCGCGCGAACGCCCGTCAGCCAGTGCTCGTACCGCTACTGACGAGGCTCGCCCGCCGATCGCACTTTGCAGCAGCGGCGAGTCGGACGTCATGGCACCCAACGCCGAGCAGGACCTGCTGGTCAGCGGCATGCCGCGAGCAGGAGCTCTGCACCCGGCCAAGGTGAGGCGCGTCGTTCGCTCGCTCGGCGCTCGAGCGAAAGTGCCGATTCTCCCTCCGGAGATCGTTCGGCGCGATCGGCCGAGCGCCGAGCCTCCGCGGCCACCACGGGCCTCGATAAATCCCCGGGCTCCGTGTGTTTCCCGGATCGAGCGCAGGAGCGACTGCGGCCGCCCACCTACAACGCCGAGGACTACGCGATGGCCTTGCGTCGCTGGGGCCGCCGAGCGCTCAGCGGCAGCCAGCAGCAGCCGGACAACGGCCAGGGCACGCTGCCGTCCACGTGCGCCAGCTCCAGCTCGTCCGGCTACGCCTCGGGCAACAACGCCGGCGAGATGACGCTCAGGCAGTTCACCTCCGTCAGCGAGCTGCTCAACAAGCTGCGCGCCGATCTGCGACTCGCCTTCCCCAGGTGCGCTCTCGTTTCGCTCGTCTTCGTTTGCTTTTTCTTCCGCGTGACTGCCTTTTTGCGCGCGCGCGCGCCAAACTCGTTAAACTTTCTTCGGCCGGCCGGCAACGGGCTGAGCGGAGGATTCTTCTTTTACTGCTCGTCGAAGCCTACTTTCCGACGACGAATCTTTCGCTGCATAAATTTAGCTTGTCCGCGGCGCGTTTGCATTCCCGATAAGAAGTGAAAGAAGCTCCGGCCGAGCGATGTTTTATGCATGTGCTCGGGCGGCGAAAATAAATAAATAATGGTCGGCCTCTCGGCGGAGAAACGGCAGGGCCAAGCTCCCGAGCTCCTACAAGTTTGTCGCGTGCCCACGCAGCTTTGTGCAGGAGTTCGCCACGGCGCCAGCGGAGGGCGTCTCGCTGCTGCTGGAGACGCTGCGGGGCGTGCAGCTGTCGCAGAGCCAGCCGGCGGGAGCGAGCCAGGGCCCGAGGCGGCCGCGGGCGCGCAGGGCCGCGCTGGACGAGCTGGGCTGCGTGGAGTGCCTGGCCGCCTGCGCCGAGCGCTGCCCCGACGCCGCCCGCATCCTCGCCCAGGCGCCGCCCGGCCTGCTCGCCCTGGCCGTCTGCCTCACCAGCAGCCTCAACCGCTCGCGCGTGCTCGCCCTGCAGGTGAGTGTACCACTCGACCGGACCGCGCGACGCCCGCCTCCGCCCCCCCCCCTCTCGTCGCCCGCCGCGCCGCGCGCGATCGCGACACCGGCCCCGCCGAGAGGCGGCAATTTCAGCGCCGCCGCAGCGCCAGTCACGCTCGTGCGTCCCTCTCGGCTGGCCGCGCCGCCACCGATCGCGCTAGCATGAGGCTGTCGCTGCTGCTGACGCTCGCGAGCGCGGCCTCGCTGCTCCTCGGCGCCGCGTCGGACGGAGGCGCCAGCCCGGAGGCGCCGGCGGCCGTCCAGCTGGAGGAGCGCTGCGGCCTGTTCCTGAGCAACAAGATGCTGCAGACCAGCAACCGGACCGAGTTCGACGAGTTCCCGTGGCTGGCGCAGCTGGTCTACAGCACGCGTGAGTGTCGCACGGTCCGAGGTAGCGCGCAGCGCCAGGTCTGACGGTCCACCGTGTTCTTTTGCCACGCCCACAGCCCGCGGCCGGAGGGGCGGCTGCGGGGGCGCGCTGCTGTCCAGGCGCTACGTGCTCACGGCCGCGCACTGCGTGGCCGGGCTGGGCGGCAACTGGAGCCTCGAGCTCGTGCGCCTCGGCGAGTTCGACACCCGCACGCAGCCGGACTGCTTCGCGACGGCCGACCCCGACGACACCTTCTGCCTGCCCGCGGCCAGCGACCACGCCGTCGAGCTGGCCGTGCCGCACGAGCGCTACCAGCCCGCCGCCGGCCGGGCCCACGACGTCGCCCTGCTCAGGCTCGCGCGGCCCGTGCCCGAGTTCTCCGACTTCCTGCGCCCGATCTGCCTGCCCGCGCGCGAGCCCCTGGCCCAGCTGTTCCGCGTCGGTGGCTGGGGCCGGCTGGCCGGCCGGCCGGGCAGCGCCGAGAAGCTGTGGGCGCCGCTGGCCCGCGTCGACGCCGCGCGCTGCGCCGAGCTGTACGCCGCGCAGGGCGTCCGGCTGGCGCGCGACCAGGTCTGCGCGGGCAACGCCAGCGTCGGGAGCGTCGTCGAGCAGCGGCCCTGCGTCGCCGACTCCGGCGGCCCGCTCATGGGCGTGCAGGTGGCGCCCGACGGCAGCCACCGCATCGCCGTCTTCGGGCTGCTCGCCACGGACGCCAGGTTCTGCGACAGGCCCGACTTGCCCGGGATCTTCGTCGACGTGCTTGGCTACAGGAGCTGGATCCTCGAGCACGTCCGCGAGTAATTGTACGCGACTGCTGCGAGTCATGTACGATCGGATATTTCCTCACTAGAAATACACGATTTCACGATTACTCAGCTCGTTTACCTTGTCCCCAAGGCTAGCCGATCTGACGCGACGCTGTACGATTCCGGATATCGCTCGCGTCGGCGGATGATCAATTCTAAAGTGAAAACGAGCGTCGCGATCATCGAAGCCTAGCCGTCGTGCGTGCCCGTCTGATAAAAATCTTTGTCGTTGTTTCCATCAAAGTACTCGAGAGACTTGATATTAAGTAGCTCAATCGCGCTTGGCTGTTAAACTGTGACACGCGAAAATATATATTTACGAGGTTCAGGATCGAGCGACGATAACGTCGTGACGACAGTCTACTCGTCTCATCATTCGGAGAAACCGTTGATCACGAAACGTGAACAATTATCGCACTCGTGGTTGACATTATAACTGACAACCTTTAATTGCAAATCCATGACAACGTTAGAAAAGATTTTTGTCGGTCTTTACATTCGAAGAGTAACAAGAAATTTTAATGCGCGCAGACGCGAACGACGAGAGTAAGCTGTAGAAATAATTGCAGTTATCAGTGAAGCTGACGTACAATTAGCCCGTATGGATTGCTACGTCTGCACCGAATTGACTAACAATCAGAGGAAAATACGAGAAGCGGGGTAAGTTGTCCCAGCGGGAAGATCGCAATGATTCTTTTCGCGAGCAGAAATTTCCTCGAGTTGACGCTGTGGAATCTCCTCTGCTTCACCGAGTTGAAGTACCTGTGGTAGATAGACACACCATGTCCCCCGAGGCCGCCGTCGTCGCTCACTGATTCGGCGGTCCAGCTTCGGCGAACCTCAAGAGCAGCTCGTCGAAGGCTTTCACGAAGGGAGAGTTCTTGGCGAGAATGAAAAAAGTCCAATAGGGCTGCAATAGTGGATCCTTTACGTAGCTCAAGATCCAGCTTTACTCGTTCAGCGAGAGGCTCCTGTTATTCACCTTCTCCTCCGAGCTGTCGTTCCGATTTTCGCCATCGATTGCTCGAACACCTAATTGAATGCAGCGTTGCCGCAAGTGCGGGGAAGTTCTTATTAGCTCCGATTACCCCAGCGACCTTGACGACTCCCAAGTCGATCAATTCCCAAATTATCTCGAAGCTCTGAGAAGACTCCTGTCGGACGTAGGTCTCGAGCTGTTCGAGAATCAGCATCGCGAGCAGGACGGATGCCATGGTCCAGCTGACGAAAGCGATTCTCTGGTGAATTTTTACAGAACTGTAGATCAGCAGCACAGTCATGTTGTACGATGTTCAGATCTTGCTCTCGAACCTCAGCAGCTAAATGTAAACGAGGATCACGTTCAGGAAAAACGAACACTCGAAGCTTCGCGTATATTCGTACTGCCTGATCAGTAATGTAGCTCGAGAGCAAGGTGCTGAAATCGCGCCTCGTTGGCATAAAATCAAGATAGATCGAGAGTTTCGTGTTCCGCCTCTTACCTGGATTCGCAGTGAAGCTCAGTGGCGAATCCATTCACCGCGATCGCCGGGCGCGCGTTCAAGCGCTGAGTCGCAGTCTTTACCACGTGAACTTGCAAATTCAATCTGCCGTTTTATTCCACCGTTGAATATTCCGCGCGACCTGAATATTACGGGCTCTGGTAAAAAGTCTCGAGAGCGCCGCACGAGTCGCTCAAATATTGACCGCGCGCTCTCGAGGCGTCACTCGAGCGCTGGGAAAACACGATTTTAGAGCACTCGACGCGACGAGCTGTCACTCGAGGCTCTCGACGATCCATCGGCGTGATTCCGCCTGCACTGCCGCGCGACGAGTTCGAGGCTGAAAACAGCCAAGGACGAGAGTTGGACAGTCACGACAACGGTGAACATCTTGAAGACGAATCGTTTGTTTCGGCGCTTGATCGCGCGCAGCTCGTCCAGCCGCGGTTGGCTCCGAGAACACGCGTTGAACGCGATGCCGCGCCAGTGCTCAAACAGCCCCGATTCGACGTACTTCATGAACACAGCCGCTAAGATCTCGCGCTCGCCGAGCAGGACGCAGGCGAACGAAGCTCCCGGGTTGAGGCGGCGTAGAAACTGCTCCGACGCGAAGGCTGTCTCGAGCTCGCGGCGACGCGATTCGTCGCGCAGCGCGTCCAGCGTCGCCCTTAATCGAGCGCAGTGCTCCTCGGTCGACGCGGCGCCGCCGAGCTCGAAGTCATCGGCCGGAGCGCCGAGCGCCGTGGCCTGTCGGTAGTCGTGCACCAGCTCCAGCCACGTCTTGGCCGAGAACACGAGAGAGAGCAGGAGCGCCGCGGCGAACACGATCCTCTCGAAGGTCCGCGTCGGCTGTACTTGGAGCCGCGCGCCGATCAGCAAACTGGCCACGTTGCAGACGCTCCAGAGCCGCTTGTCGAACTTGAGCAGGTGCAGCGCGTAGGAGACGAAGGCGAGCAGGCCGACGAGCGTGATCAGCGAGACGACGAGCTTGCGGTTCTGTCCGTCCTCCGACCGATCCATCTCGAGGTCGACTGACCGCACGGGTGCGCCGAGCGAGCCCTCGAGCGTGCCTTAATTATTCAGCGGGCGCGCGATCGATGGGCGGACCGGCGCGTGCACCTCCTCCACGCGAGGCCGCGTACCGGCCGAGCCTCCGCGGACGAGGGTGTCGTCCTTGTGCCGGGAAGTTGACGAGTGCATGCTTCCTTGCAGCTGCTGACGAAGGTGTGTCAAGCGCAGGCTGGCCACGCGGCGGTCAGCGAGGCGGTGTCGACGCTCCGGCTGAGGTACGGCGAGGGCGGCAGGTTCAGGTTCTTGGCCGGGGCGCTGCTGGCCGCCAAGGCGGCGCTGGCCCTGCGGATCGCCGGCGTGTCGTTCCTGAACGCCTTCCTGTCCACGGCCCCGACGACGCAGACCAAGCTCTACATACAGGTGAGTGCCGTCGTCGATCGCGGCCCGCGGTTGCTGGCTGGCTGGCTGACGCTGGCGCGTCCATTGCAGGCGGAGGCTTGCGAGGCGGGCCTAGAACCGCGAGCCCTGCAGGAGTGGCTCAAGTACGTGGACGACGAGGAGCCGGCGAGCGAGCTGCTGCGGGAGGAGGTGCGCAGGTGGTCGAGGCACTGCGTCGACGTGGAGGCCCTGCAAAGTCGAGCCCGCCGCGCCGAGGAGACCTGCCGGTTGCTCGGCAAGAAGGTCGCCGCGCTGCAGCAGCAGCTGCACAAGCTCCAGCTCGAGCGGCTCAATGAGTACAACAGCCGCCGGCAGCAGCAGGCGGCCGCCTGCTCGGTCGATCGCTCCGGGGGCCGGAGTCGCGCGGTGAGCCTGCGCCAGCACCCCGAACTCTGCGCGTCGAAACTGATCGTCCATCTCTAACGGCAGAACGAGAAGAAGGTGTTGTCGAGCGCGGAGGACGAGGGGATCAGCTTCTCCGAGAGGTCGAGCAGTCCGGAGGAGCGGGCCGGCCAGGCGCGACGAGGCAGCCCCGGCGACAACGAGCACAGCCTCGACAACGACCGGGAGACGACGATCGACGACGTGATCGAGGAGCTGCGGACAATCGTGAAGGACGCCGAGGAGGAGCTGCACGACTGGGATCAGCTGCAGCAGGGCCAAGCGCCGCCGAGGGCCAAGCGCTCCCAGTTCGGCAAGGGCGCGGCCGCGGGCTCCTCGGCACCCGCCGGCCAGAGACCCAGCCAGGCCAGGGAGTGCCTGCGCAGCTCGGAAGAAAGCGCGCGCCTGGACCGACACTCGAAGAGCGCCGGCAGCCTGAGGATCGCGGTGCCGGGGCCGCAGCCGGACGAGCAGCGCGAGTCGGCTATCGTGCCGGCCATCATCCACCCGCAGCCGCCGAGACGAGCGCCGCCCTGCCTCCTCGCCGGCAACCCGCTGTTCCTACAGCAGGAGCTGGCCAACCGCTGCGCGCCCGACGACTCGGAACAGGACGAGGACCTGCTGCTCCTACTCGACGACGACGATGACGACGGCAGCGACTCGCTGCTCAGCGCCTCCAGGCTCAACTACCACCAGCAGCAGGCCGTACAGCCAAGAGCTGCGCAGCGGCAAGCCGAGGCGGCCCCCTTCGGACGCAGAAGCGGCGACTTCCAGCTCGCGAGCCTGGCGGACTTCGAGATCTCGGAGACGATCCTCGACGAGCGCGTCTGCCGGCAGCCCGATGGCAACAGCCACTCACTCGGCTCCCGGCAGTACTCCAGGTGCGGCAACACCGTGCAGCGACGCACCGAGCGCCGCAAGTACCTGCGCCGCTGCCAGAGCCAGGACCACATCGAGCAGCAGGCCGTCAAGCCTGGCGGCGGCGGCAGCGTGGTGGAGCACATCCGCAAGTTCGAGAGCATGAACAGCTTCGACGAGCGACGCAGCCTGCCGAGCATCGAGGACTCGCGGCTGCACCGCTCCGAATCCTTCCACCAGACCAGGCTCCGCGTCGACGGCTCGACGCCCAGGCGCGCCGGCAGCGACGCCACCAGCCGAAGTCTGGACAGGATCGACGAGGGCCTCGACGCCGCGCTGCTCGGCCGACACCGCGGCCAAGCCTGCCGAAGACTCTCCGGCGACGAGCGGAGCTCCGGCCAGCAGCCCGGGGACGAGCCGCAGCGCAAGTACACCTCCTTCCTGGAGAGCAGGCCCGGCCGACAGCAGCAGCAGCGCGACCATTCGGGGATCTTCGCCGGCGGCCGGTCGCACGACGTGCTCGGCATCGGCAGGAGCCGCTTCAACGCCGGCAAGTACTCCGGCAGCAGTCCGCACACGGCGCGCCAGCAGTACGCCGCGCCGAGAAGCCGACACGGACACGCCTCACCGCCCAGACACGCCAGGGCCAAGGTTACCGACATGCCGTCCGGCCTCTACTGATGGCCATCTGCCCTCTCTATGACCCGATTGTTGCCTAGCGTCTTCCCCAGAGCAGCGCCTCACTATTACGGCATTGTGTAGCCAGATTATCTTTTGAATCTTACTTTTCTACTTGCAAGAATCGATCTACCGTTATATTATATATATATATATGTATATGATTAAGAGTTGACAATTTCTTACGCTAAGAATTATTGAGTACTTTTTTTTTATATATCAACAAATTGTCTATTTTCACGTATCTGATTCAACGTAATTTTTGGTTTCGTTGCTCGATTCTACTCCAACAGTCGCTAATCTTCAGAGTAACTTAATAATTTTTAAAAAATATTTATCATATTTTTTCTTGCCCGCACTTGGACAATTTATACTGCGTCGAGGTAGAAAAACGTATAATAATCTTGTTATATATAATAATTAGCCATTTCACAAAAGAATTGAATTGAGGAAAGGAACGATAGAATATGTACATTATAAGTCCATGGAATTTAAGAAAATATATACCAAATTTGAGCAAATAAACGAACAGATATAAACTCTACTTGTCCCTTCCTTTTGCTCAGCTAAACGTAGACCCTATTCTCGCTCAACAGTCAGACTCATTGGTATGCGTTACGGTCTGCTGCCTCGTACACGCACATGGTGCAGAAGGGTCAGCGACTTGAGACCAAACGGAAACTTCATTATGTATCTTGCTCTACGCGCTGTAGAGTCAAACCAGGAAAACTTCTTACAAAGAGATTGCTACATATTTTTCAACAGGGCAAAAAGCAACAATGGCTCAATTTCCATATATTTCTTTTATTCGTGTATACGTATTTATATATGCTTTACATTATTCTTTAATACGATGCTTTCATTTTTGCTTTATTCTTAAACATTTATAACTAGATACGCATATTTTAATCGCGACATTTCTACTCAAGTCTTATATTGTTTTTAGAAATTGAAGAATACTTCAACTAGACAACAAACATTTGTAAAAGTGCGAAAACAGTCAATAAATAAAAATTAATTAAGTGCGTAATGTTAAAGGCAATAGAAACTGGTAAATTTTTCACTGGTTTGAAAAAAATACTGATCATTAAAATTATCAGTCATGATGTAGTTTCTCTAAAATACTTTAAAAATTGTTTAAAAGTAAGTACTGAGTTAAAAGCATACGTGAAAAAATTTAGCAACAAGAGATTTTCTTCGAACGGATATACACAAATCAAGCGTTCATGTCGAACTAAAGCCTCCACTTTATGAACGCAAGATATTCAAATAACTAATATCAGCAGTCTATTTTCGAGATTCATATACTTTCATAAAAAATTAGAAAATTCCTAGGCGCAGCCTTGTCAATACAACGCAGTACTTTAAAACTGGTTTAAAACTAGAATTCACATTGCTTTTGGGCAAGAATAACCTCCGCCAGCTTTATATAATATATTACAGGATAGAATTCCAGATTCGTTTTTCTACGTACGAGTTACTCTTTTTCAAAATAAAGTTAGTTTGAAAATCCTGTTGCGCCCGAGCACTTGAGTAACTATTGGATAGTGAGAGAGCACATACTTGAAAGAAAAACGATGTAAAAGCGAAAGTATTAATTGTCGTTGCTTATCAGCTACCACTAGCTTGGAGAAGCGTCGTTTTAACTTCGCTCAGTTCATGACTCGATGAGTGGACGCTCCGGTGAGTAAGTTCCGGGTTGCAAATTAACGGCTCACTTCTGTCTCGTCGAATTTCCAGCAGTTGGTGCGAAGATTTAACTGCAAATAAACAGTAGTCAGATATTGGTTTATTTTGTTATGATTCTGACATGATATAAGTTAAACATATTCTTTTAATTACCTTTCATATTGTGTAACAAATACGTGAGCTCCTCTCGTGTTGAAACATATTGGAACTCATCTCCACAAGCTCCTTTTAATACGGCAACGACGTCAGATCGTGGATTATAAAAATATAAGGCTTGCTTTCGACTATTAAACTCGCTTATTAAAGCGGCAATTCCCTAAAAATCAAGTCGATTGCTTTAGCATAATATTGATAAAGAATAATATTGAAAGCAACTGTAAAACATACCTTCGCGGCAGTGAAATCAGCTCCTAAAACATATCGGCAATCTACAACTACTGGGATTTGACTTGAACCTTCGGTGATACCAACATTACCAACAGATTGCTTAATAAAGTCCACGGCTGGGAAGTATAAGCTATTACCAGGTGTTACTAACAAATACTCTGCGTCCGAATCAGTCTGTATAATAAAAATCAAACTTTAATAAGTTGTATTACATATTACAATTTTCAAATAACACTGAATTTGAATTTGACTTACGTAATATTTTTCAACGTGAACTTGAGGACGAGCCGACGGATAAAGTAAAAAGATCAAATTAATTCCAACACCAGCAACAATTCCATATTCGACTCCAATAACTAGACATAATAAGAAAGTAGCGAAAGTAGGGATCAAATCCTTTTTACTTGAGCGCCACATAAGTTTCACAACTTCGTACTCGATCATGTAAATCACAGCACAAATGATAACAGCCGCCAAAGACGCTAAAATTATTTTAATTTTATTAAATTATTATCACAGTACTGTCAGCTTGTAACTCTATTTTCGACATTGATGGATAAACGCTTTTTCACCGACAGATTATTAAAAAAATACTTGTCAAACTACCTTTAGGAATAAAATAAAAATATGGCGTCAACAACGTCAACGCGAGCAAAATCAGCAATCCCGTATACAATCCTCCCATAGGGGTTTTGACTCCGCTAGCGTGATTAACTGCGGATCGACTAAACGAGCCAGTGACGGGCATCGAGCTAGCACATGAGCCAATAACGTTACAGATACCAAGAGTAATAAGTTCCTGCGTGGCGTCAACCTGGTTGCCACTAGCAAAGGCCTTGGCGATGGCAACGTTGCCGAGGACTCCAATTATCGGCACTAAGAGTATTGATGGCCCCAATTCGCTGCACATTTCCATGAAACTGAGAGTGCGATTGTTCACCTGAGAGTTAAAGCGCATCACCGTAAGAATTGTCTTGCTTAGGTTAAAAAAGAAATAGCGAAAGGCGTTGGAACGTGGAAGAATACCAGAGTAGAGAAGGGGGGCAAGCTGAAGGTAGGCAACCCTGGCCTGACCTGGCCCGTGAGTACGAAGGGTGAAGACGCGTAAGACCTTTCGAGTTTGTAAGCGATGGTAGAGCAAACGACGACGACGATGGCGTTTCGCGCCGTAGATATCAACCAAATTGCTTTGGCCAATATCCTCTGCCTCTTGGTTGGTTTCTCACCGGGACTACAAAAGCTCACGTCTTTCAACCTCTGTAAAGGCACAAATCAATCACGATCTGCACGAAGAGCAATTCGAAGGATGTCTATACATACCCTGAAGAGTAGAAGAACGACGATGCAAGTGAAGCTCATACCGGCATCGCAAGGACTCGTCTCGTGGATATGAGCCAACACCTGCTTGAGCGTATCCATGAAACCAGTGGACGAGATGCGCAGACCTAGCAAGCCCTTGAGTTGCGAGGCGACGATGATGACCGAGGTAGCCGAGGTGAAGCCCACCGTCACCGGAATCGAGATGAAGTCCACCAGTACACCTGGACAGTGTCGTTAGCGTGTACCCTTGTCCCTCGAGCGCGCGCGCGCATAAAAGTCGGGCGCGCAGCCTTTATCCAAACGCGATTTCTAATGCCGCGATTGTCGCGCGCAGGTGCGCGCTCGCATCTCAATGCACTCGCTTCTATCAGACGTGGATCCGACCGACGCGCGTTTTCTTCGCACGTTCGCGGTGCAAAGCGCATTGTTACGGTATTGCTTTTGCAAAGTTGCATCGCGAGCCGACAGTGCCGCATAAAAGCGAAACTAGTACGAGAGAGAAAGAGAGCGTACATAATTTTTAATATACGCACTGAATGCCAAATGCGCGTGATAAATCAGCTTGACTGCGGGCCGAGTGCCCCATTGGCGAGCCGATGCAGGTACTAACCAAGTCTGAGCGCGGCCATGAGTAGCTGCATGCATCCAGTGAGGAATGCCAAAAGGATGGCAAAGTCGACGCTGCGTCCCTGGACGTATTGGTTGGTCATCAGAGCCATGAGGGCAGTGGGACCAATGGTGATGTCCTTGCACGAGCCGAATACCACGTAGATCATGGCACCGATGAACGCCGAGTAGAGCCCGTACTGTTTGGTGGTTTTCGAAAAAAATAAAATAAAATAAAATAAAAAAAAAAAAAAGGCGGTCAGTGCCGATTACGAAAATTATCCAGCCATTGTGTCGCGTTGCTTTTCCTTCGCGGTAATATAAAATATTAAAATTGACGCAATAACACTGCGATCGGCGAAGCAAGGTGACAGCGAGAAATCGGCCGATCGAGCCGTTATCAACGTTTTTGCTCGGTGCTCGCAGAAGGGGGGCTAATGATCGTTCGGCCTATATTTACGAAATATCGCGCGACAATGTATACTCGCGCGTTCTCGTATAATTCTGCGCGCTGTTACACTCATTAAACTCGCGGTTGCACTAGCGTGCGCGCGCGCGCGCGAACGGCTATAAAGAAAAATTACTGGAAATTGCGTCATTGCGTACTTGAAGACGCCGCGCCGTTAAATCTCACGCTTAGCGCGTGTGCGTCGCCTTGAAAGGTGCATGGCATGCCGCGAAGACGAACTATACTCTTTGGTCGAAGCGAAACTCGACGCGATGCCGATAAGGAAATGCTTAGCATTGAAGAAATAAAACATAAACGAATAATTATCATTTACAGTCGGGTGCGAAATTGATGATTGATACGTCGACACCGGGCAGGACGACGATGCTTGAATAAAGTAAATCATTGTTTTGCGAAGCTCTAACTCACCTGAGGCTCGAGCCCAGCCAACGTAGCGTAGGCCAGTCCTTGCGGCATGACCGTCAAGCCGACGGTGATCCCAGCGATGGCATCGCTGAAAAATTTGTCGGAGTCGTAGGTGGGTAGCCAGCCGAGAATCGGCAGCCGACGTCTCAGCAGACCCATGACGTATCCTCGGCGGCTGCCGGCGCTGCCGCGACGCGCGTACGGCACGCTGCTCATGGCGCTAGCTCGCAGAAAGCTATTGTGCGAGCTGAAAAAAGTGCGGCTGGCAAGAGAGAGAAAGAGAGGGAGAGACAGAAAGAAAGACGCAGAAAAAAGAAATTTAAAGAGAGATAGAGAAAGGTGAAATCGAGGATGGATGAATCGATGTCGCGCGACTCGTCGCGACGCACTAGGCCTCCGCGACCGCAGCACGTGTTTCTTTATATCGCTATCCCTGCCGCCTCCCTCTCCGCCGATCTTTTCACATTGTGTGCGTCGCGCGTGAGTACATGCTCAAGCCTCGCGCGATAAATTTACGACCGATTTTAGGAGAGAGGATTTGCTAGTTTCCTCGCTGCCTTGAGGCTTCACGTTTTACGGTCCACCAAGGAGACCTAAAGAGAGAGAGAGAGAGAGAGAGAGAGAGAGAGAGAGACAGACAGACAGACAGACATACGGGCAGAAACAAGAAAGGAGAGAACCTAAAGCGGTCAGCCAGCGATTTAATTGCATAATTAGGGCTTGTTTTCGTCGCCGAGGAATTTCAATTCGACTCGATTGGACGCCAATTGGGCGCGCGTGCACGCGCTCTCTCTCGCTGCATGTATAAATACACAGAGTGCATATCACGTGAGAAAGTTATTGTGCGAGGCCGATATACTCGCGAGTGCGAAGATTAATTGATCGAGAAATTTCAGTCACGTGCAGCAGCTACTATGCCGGCCGGGGTCCTCTTCCATCCATCCTCCCTCCTTCTCCCTCCCAAGCCCGAGCTGCTGTAACGCTTCCCATTTGCATTATGATACGCTCTCGCGCCTTATATGCCTTATATCGATTTTCTTTTTTACATATAACATCACCTTTCATTCTGCTCTTTTTGCATTTTTTAAGACAGTGCTATTTTTAGCACTGAGAATGAGGCGCACGTTCGGTTGATTAAACCACCGAACGTACTATTTTCGTACAATCTACCTGAAGTAGGTCGCGCCTAGTGTGCTTTGCAAAAAAAAACTAAAATAAAAGCGATCTATTTACTGGGAATTTTTAAAACAAACACCAGAATTATTCCAACAAAGCTGTGCGCAATGGTGTCGCATAAACAATAGAATAAAGAAACCGTATAAAATTACGTAAACAAAACTCGAAGGCTTCCCGATCGCAGCAAGAAATATCAAACAGCAGTGCTTCCACGAAAAGTAAGTTCTTTGCCGAAATTTGTCTAAACACGTTCGCGAGAAAAACGAAAGCACACACCTTAGAATAAGTGTACACAAAGCCCTAACCTAACCTAAAAGGTCAACAAACCTTTCAACCTCGCGAAAAAAAAGGGTAGGATTGGGCGTGGGTCGGTGGATAGAAAAACACGATATTGGAGGTCGTTTCGGAAGAAATAATCAGTGCGTAAACACTAACTTGGCGGCTGCGAAGGATGAAGTGCGTGTCAAGGCTGCGACCACAGCCGGAACATCTTCCTTGCGCCGCTTGTCCGAGGGCACTGTCGCCTGAGTGTCGCCGCCGTTCTCTCTTTCTCTCTCTCTGCTCTTTCACTCGCGCTCTCCCGCCCGCCACCCCCTACGGCAAATCGATTCGCGCACACCTGCTGCTGTCCTTTTTTACTACCCACAATTGCGACGTTCTGACCTGGAAACGAGTCATATAAATATTCTAAATTAAGTGAATGAATGCTAATCGATTCGTGTTATTTTATTAACTATGACGGATGAAAATATGCATCAAATTTATTAGAGAATAATGTACAAGCTAGCTTGAGTGACAAGGATGTTTATTGTATATATTTTTTATTGAAATATTTGAGATCAGTAGTTGATCAGTACTTTGTCGTTGAAATTTTATCAACGCATTGTATTGCACTTAGTTCTTGCTTTTTCTAATTTCTAATTATTTACTTGATGATGTAGACGTACTATATACAGCGTATAATTGTGTATAATTTATTAATTGAGTTTTTTATCTGTCGATAAATGACAAGTTTAAGAAGTCTTAGATTTACGTATTTTCCAAATTTTCGCTTATGAAATATATATATATACATTTTTTCCTTGACTACTTTTTATTAAAGCAAAAGGATTTTGTCGGATACAAAGAAGCACTATTGAATTTAAATAAAGCGCCGGAATATTATCTCTATGTGTATAGCAACATGCCAATTATAGGCAACCAATAGAAGACGTTGATGATGTAAACAAGGGCGAACGTGTGCGTTGGCCGGCGCGACATTCCAATAAGTCTGAAAAAGCACTCACCGGCACATGGTTTCAAATAACTTGTGCCTGATCAGTCTGATCGTGTTCGTTTCGTACGTTACATTGATTAACACACTGATTTTTTCTCTATAACTGGTGACGAGCAGAGCGACTTTCTCTGATTAATCTTTGTCGAGCGATTTGTATGCTTGATTATTAGTTGTAAGTAAGTCACGGTCTTTCATATTTATTGCGTTTGTAAATTTTTCGAGTGTCAAATGAGACTTGCAAAGGGACGAAACAAAGAGACTGGAATTCATTTTTCGAGAATTATCCGTCTCTTTCTCTTCTACTGTGTTTTGTTCACTTATATATAACGTGCATCCATTTTCATATACATTATCTGGTTTCCTTCTTTGTAGTGATGGCTAAGTGATGAAAGTCGAAATATTTTCCTCATTAATATTTTATTCACTTTTTTTTAATGAACGTCAATTATTTGAAATATAATAAGCGTTTATAAAAGTGGTAATAAAAACTATAATTAAACATGTATTATTCAATTTTAAATAATAATTTATTAACAGTGTTTTTAATGTTCTTCAAGAAAATTTTCATTTTTAATACAATTAAGATTTTTATGTATGTATCACTTCAAAAATTTTTTTTCTCTATTTCAGTTGATCCACTATGAGTGCTGGAACTAGAAACAAACAATTGCAAACACATAATACAAACAATGGAGCCGTACAATCCAAAAAGAGTACCATCCTTAAAAAGATTTATAAAGTAGGTTCACTTCATAATTTTTCATCTGACTCTATAGAAAACATAGATAATCATGTTAAAGTTGCTTCTAAATGTGGACGGACAAGCATTGATACTTGTCAAAATGAAATATCTCATCAGTCAGACAAGCAGAGTTATGAAAATTTAGAAAAATTTACAGTTAACAGTATTGAGCCAATAAATGAACAATTATTGAGCAATGATAAAATTGATAATTTGATTACTAAAACTGATATTGGTAAAAATATGAATGATTTTCCAAATCCTGATCAAGTGACTGAATTAAGTGATGATTATTTGATACAAATGACAAAAAATCTCAATGACAGGCATATTGCTCTATATGAAGGTATTTTCCTTAAAGCTGATGAAGATGATAAAAATGGATTCATTGATGAAAAGAAAAATGAAAATAATGATAATATTAAAGAAAAATCTACAGCAGTTTATTCTGATATTGAAAAAGATAATGCAAAGGGACCCATTAATGAAAGTGACTCTGTTAAAATAGATTGTTTACTGAATGAGGTAGGACTTGATAATTCAAACAATCCTAATGACATTGTAAAAATTAAACTGGAAGTTAGTATTAAAAATAATCACAAAGTAGTACCATCAACTGATGATAATAAAAATATACGACAAAAAGATGGAACTATACTTGTTGACCAACTTGCATTTGTAGATGTGAAGAAATCGTATACACAAGCTAAATTGAGAGATACCCCTAGCGTCAAATCTGAAGTTCTTATTAATAGATTACAGAATATGGATTGGCTTAAGCCTTCAGGACATGAGTATGTATTTTCAAATAACTTTTGCCATTTCTTATTTGTAGGACAGAATTATATGTAATATATTCAAACATTCATTATTATTATATTTACATGATTTCTTAATGGTTAGATTGAGTTTATCACCTTTATGTATGAATTAGAGTACAGTGGTTGATCTACTTTTGTTAAGATATTTTAATAAGTTTTAATTTATTTGTTACAGAATGTTGGAAGTATGGAAAAAAATTTCTCGTAAACGACCGAATCTAACTGATAGAGACAAAGAGGAGAAAGATAATGAAGATATAGAAGACCCTGTCGACGATACTAAATTAAATTCTAAATCAAACAAAAAACGTTCTAATCAACGTAAGAACATCAAGACAAAAGTTGTAGATTCTTTTAAAAAGGATGAAATAGAAGATCAAAGTAAAAAGTCATTGAATGATGTTATAGAACATGAAAATAAAAAATCATCGAACGATGTTATCAAAGATGAAAATAAGAAGTCATCAAACGATGTTAAAGAAGATAAAAGTAAAAGGCCATCAAACGAAGTTATTATAGAAGACAAAAGTAAAAAGTCATTAAACAATGTTACTGAAGATAAGAGTAAAAGATTAACAAAGGATATTATAGAAGATAAAAGTAAAAAGTCATTAAACAATGTTACTGAAGATAAAAGTAAAAGGTCATCAAATGATGTTACAGAAGTTAAAAATAAAAAATCATCAAACGATGTTATTGAAGATAAAAGTAAAAAGTCATCAAACGATGTTATAGAAGTTAAAAATAAAAAATATTCGAACGATGTTATTGACGATAAAAATAAAAGGCCATTAAACGATGTTATAGAAGGTAAAAATAAAAAGTCATTGAATGATGTTATCGAGGATGAAAATAAAAAGTCATCGAACGATGTTAAAGAAGATAAAAGTAAAAGATCATCAAACGACGTTACTGAAGTTAAAAATAAAAAATCATCGAACGATGTTACTGAAGATAAAAGTAAAAGGTCATCAAATGATGTTATTGAAGATAAAAGTAAAAGGCCATCAAACGATGTTATAGAAGGTAAAAATAAAAAGTCATCGAACGATGTTATAGAAGGTAAAAATAAAAAGTCATCGAACGATGTTAAAGAAGATAAAAGTAAAAGGTCATCAAACGACGTTACTGAAGTTAAAAATAAAAAATCATCGAACGATGTTACTGAAGATAAAAGTAAAAGGTCATCAAATGATGTTATTGAAGTTAAAAATAAAAAATTATCGAACGATGTTATTGAAGATAAAAGTAAAAGGCCATCAAACGATGTTATAGAAGGTAAAAATAAAAAGTCATCGAACGATGTTATTATAGAAGATAAAAGTAAAAAGTCATTAAACAATGTTACTGAAGATAAAAGTAAAAGGCCATCAAATGATGTTAAAGAAGTTAAAAATAAAAAGTCATCGAACGATGTTATTGAAGATAAAAGTAAAAGGTCATCAAACGACGTTACTGAAGTTAAAAATAAAAAATCATCGAACGATGTTACTGAAGATAAAAGTAAAAGGTCATCAAATGATGTTACAGAAGTTAAAAATAAAAAACCATCGAACGATGTTATTGAAGATATAAGTAAAAGATCATCAAACGATGTTATTGAAGTTAAAAATAAAAAACCATCGAATGATGTTATTGAAGATAAAAGTATAAGGTCATCAAACGATGTTATTGAAGTTAAAAATAAAAAGTCATTGAACTATATTATTGAAGATGAAAGTAAAAGGCCATCAAACGTTGTTATAGAAGTTAAAAATAAAAAATTATCGAACGATGTTATTGAAGATAAAAGTAAAAAGTCATCAAACGATGTTATAGAAGGTAAAAGTAAAAGGTTATCAAACGATGTTATAGAAAGTGAAAATAAAAAATCATCGAACGATGTTATAGAAGATAAAAATAAAAGGTCATCGAATGATATTATAGAAGGTAAAAATAAAAAGTCATTGAACAATGTGAAAGATGATAAAAATAAATTGTCATCAAATGATGTTATAGAAAGTGAAAATATAAAGTCATCAAATGATGTTGGATTAATTAATACTTCAAAGAATGAAAGTTCAAAATCTCCTGTTGGTCAAGTAACAGATAAGTCCAAGGATGCAAAATCCAGTCAACTTCCTGCATCACAGAGAACTTGTATAGGCAGAGGAAGAAATGATAGACGCAAAATATCTTCTGGAAATGTTCAATTAAGAGGGCAAAGTGATATCAATAATCAAAGGTTTCTTTTAATTTTAATAATAAATAATGATTGAGCAATTAATATAATCTAATATGTACTGGATTGTAATTTTCTTGTTTTTATTTTGATAAGCTTTTAATATTATTTTGAAATTACAGGAATGAAAGTCATAAATCTTTTAAAGAAGATAAACTGCCAATCACGGTAGAAAACAGTTCCAGCAAAACTGAAGCTCATTTCAATTTACAAGATTCTTCTGATAAAATCAAGAAAATAGATGTTACTGAAAATTTACTAGTTATTACAGATGCGATAAAATCAAAAGAGCAAAAGGTTTATGAAACAAAAAGTGACTCGAAATCATATCAAAATATAGAGTCACACATCCAACCACCAGTTAAAAATATTGCAGAGTTACCAGCCCACAAAAATAAAAGTAAAATTGACATAAAGAAAGATCAACTGTCATCAAAAGATTATCAGGAAAGTCAAAATAGATCAGCTTCAAATCAGCCAAGCAGGTCAACACAGGTTCAATTAACGGATAAAAGTATTTCTGAAAAAACAGTATATTCTGTTAAAGGATTTGGACAGAAAACAGATGAAACTGTCAAAAATAACAACCAACCATGTCAAAGTCTTAGTAGTAAAGATAGTTCTAATAGATTTTCAGAGCAGACTAATAAAAATTCGACCGAGAATAAAATTAATCAATCTTATTCTTCCTTATTAAAAAGTAAGGAAGAAAGTTGTTCTATAAAAGATACTGACACTGTTAGCACCCATACTACAAGTAGCATTTATGATCGAGACTTTCCAAGATGGAATCATAGTAATAATTATCCTGACAAACAGAATATAAATAGGGATGAAATAACATTGCATCCTTCCAATAGACAGAGAAATATTTCTGATAACAAAAGGGAAAACGAAGAATCATTTGGTAAACATCAGGTATTCATTGATAAAAGTCAAGGAAATAAAAGATATTCTGATAAAACTCAAAATAGTGGAACTTCTGTAGGTAGATATTCTAACAGAAATCAGGAAATCGATAATTTTCTTGATAAACACTCTGAGAAAAACCAGGATGACAAAAATTATGCTGAGCGATACTCTAACAAAAATCAAAATTCTAAGTCATACCATGATACTGATTCTGATAGATTACAAACTAGTCGCAGAGATACATATGTGAATAATAATTACAGAAATCAAGGATTTAGCGAAAGATTTTCTGACATCAACGAAGACAAACCTTACGGTAATCATTCTTACAAATTTCGAGATAATAAAAATTCTGGTGATAGATACCCTGATAATCAACAAAGTCAAACTTCCAATGACAGATTTTGTAATAAAACACCAGAGAATAAAAGTACTGTAAATTTTGACAAAAATAAAGATGAGAAAACTAGTGATAAAAATCAAATTGCAACAAGAAATTCAGATTTTTCAAGTGGAAATACCAGACTTCCTGATAGAAAGAATGAAAGTCCAAATTTATCAAAAGCAACTTGTAACAGAAGTTACAATATGAATGAAAACACGTGTGAAGTGAAAACGTATGAGAAAGAAAACAAGGATGGAAATAACCACCAAACATTTAATAAAGATAATAATTATAAAAATCAAGACACAACAAATAATACTAAATCTGTACACAATGGCTGTTATCCATATCCACATGAACAACAACAATTAAAACAGTTTAAAAATAATTGTTGGAAAACTTCAGATCGCGCACATTCGGTCAATGAGACGCAATGTGGATCAGATGTCAAATCTCAAAAATATCTTGATAGTACTCAGCAAATTAATGTCCAGATAGGATCGAAGCAAATACAACAATCTTACCCTGGACCATCTGTTGCATCTCCACAAGAACTTTCTTCCGCAATTAATCAAAATATTGAGTTACATGGGGGTATTACTCAATTCACAGATATGACAGGCATGAGTCAGCCAAATCAGAGTGAGCATTGGAATTCACATAAAAATACTTCAAAACAAGAAGCAGTTTATCCATCAGAATTTCAAAGTGCTTCGCCTTATGCTAATATAAATATAGCTTCTAGTCCTACTGTAACAAATGAATATAACTTGCAATATCATCAGACACTTTTGAATTCATCGAACCAACTAAACAGTACTTCAACATCTGGACAGAAGTCTAACATCGTTATGACATTTGATGGAAATCAGAATGTTCAAAGAGCACTAGGTAAATTGTTAAAAATATTGAAAATATTTTAAAAAATTGTCTCATGTATATATGTATAATACTCTTGTATTTTTCAAGGAATGAATCATAGAATTATGAATCAGCTTCCATATCCTCAAACGAACACTAACGATCCTTCTGAGCCCAATACAAATATTCCTGTACCTTCTCCATCAATGTATACAGATGGAAATGTCACTCAATTTTTCCAAACAGCAGTTAGCAATTTGCAAACTATTATGCCACACATGCACTCTACAATGAACGTAAATGCGCAACCATTTGAAGTGATAAAACAATCCAATCAAGAGCCAAGCAAACAGAAAATGTATGCTATGCAACCTCTGATATCAAATCAAAACCACAGTAGATCGGTATCTTCAAACAACGATAATGTAATTGATGAAGCTTACAAGAATGAAAAATCAAACGATTCTGAGGAATATTTAAAGCTTCGTAAAGAAATATGCGACCTTTCACAACAACTGGCAGCCAAACAAGGGCAATTACTAGCTTTAGAGGTTTAAATATCTTTAATTCTAACAAGAATTTTTATCCTTCAGCATTTCTAATATTATTTTATTAATGTTATAGTTGAGATGGCATAAAAATGAATGTGCACTTCATAACAAAGATTCTAATATCATAAGTCAACAAAGCTGTCAACATGTGAGTAGTAATCAACGGGTACAAGAGTCTGATAATATTTGGCCACCCAGCTACGCACAACCTGAACATTCATGTTTTCCACTTAGCTATGATCGTGTTCCAATGGGTTTGGAAAGAACAGAAGGATCTCACTTGTACAAGCTGCTGACAGAAACGTTACCTCCAAATAGTATACCAAAACTTGGAAATAATCCTCCATCGGTTTACCTTGCGCAAGGCAATATGTATCAGCAAGATGCAGCAGCTTATCAAATGTTTACTGAAAAAACAGGAAATAGAGCTACTTATGTTAACATGGTACCGCAAAATAATCAGTTCCTTCATTAGTACATAACTAATAAATATTATTTCATATATCATGGTTTTTTATCGCTTCTATATTAGTTACAGCAAGATTTAATTGTTTTTCACTTTACTTTTCGTTTCATATAGAAATAATCATATATATTTACGTATCTTTGATAAATAACGAAAAAGTCACTTTTTATTATATGATTAGAATTAATATTTCTCGATAATTTATAACTGCGAAAAATCCAGTTATGATTATCTAAATTTCTTATGTTTTTTAAAATATATTGAAATTATCGATCGAGTAAATGCTTAGATTTTTTATTTCACTATTTTATCGTATATGGATTAAAAATCCGATAAATAAAAAAATACAAATTTAGTTTTATTATCACCATTGAAAGTTATTACGAGCTATTGTCAAATTCATTCATGATCTCCTTCGATAAATCAAAATATTTAGAAATAAGTTAAATATCAAACTGTTTATTAAGTTAACAAATATTACAAGATTTTGTAATTGAAATTTATAATAAAATAAAGTTTCATGATAAGTATGATTTCAATTTATTCATTCATTGCAAAAGTAATTACTAAATTAGTAATGAAATTATTTTGAAGAAACCAGGTATAAATATTGTGCATATTTAATCAATATAGGTACTCGGTTGTGTTTATTACGTTTGTAAGACTGCATTGTGTATGTTTATTATATGAACTTCATATATGAACAAAAGTAGTCTGTATGTTATTTACATTTACGAACAGTCACGTCGAAAAGTACTGTGAGTACGAATTAACTGGACGATATTCTATAAATAATGAGTGAGATTTATGAAACCTGAACATTTGATCATTAATACAACGGAATATTATATGTATAAATAGGTATATTATTTATATATTAATAAATAAAAATAGACATTTTATTCTTATAATAACATTGTTTAATTGATGATATTAATTATAAAATACAGATTTTCATCATCGCTATTATTACTTATTAGTTGGATTTAAATATATTGTGATTTAAGAAGTAATAAATATTTGTTGTTATAGCAATAAAACACAAAAAGATATTATTTCAAAATAGAGAAGAAGAAAAGATCCTTTATGATCTTGGAATACTAAAAAACTCTTCAGATCATATTATTGAATCATTGAAAGTCAAGAAAAAAACAATCAAACGAAATGATTAAAAAGAGGAAATTAAATAACAAAATTGTCAAAAAGAAACAGTTGCTGCAAATGATTCTAACGCAAATCAAGTTTTAAAAATTCTATAGAATTTGATGTTGCAATTAGCATTTACATGTATTTCAAGTTGAGAGAAAAGTAATTTTAATAAAAGACTTTGCTAAGAGACATTTCAATTCTACTATTGGAAGAAATGGAAGATATATGTACAGAAACCTTGAAAATAATTTTTATCAATGTTGTTCTTCAGGAAGCTAACAATCAGACAGTTAGTTTAAATGTTCCTACGTTATCAACGAACAATCAAGAAAATATTTTGTTATTTAATATTGCATGCATCAACAATTTTATTCCATTAGTACAGTTTTTCTGCAGTTGTGTTATCTAAAGATATACATGAATTGTAATGCTTACTAATTTATGTATCATAGTATAATATAAACAATCAATATAGTGTTGCCATCACAGAATATACAATTTTCTTATGATGAATTCATTTATTTCATACATTGATGAGTTCATAATGAACTATGTATATATATATACTTCTAACAAATGAAAATGTAAAAAACGCAATTTTAGATTGATTTGTTTCATTCCTAAGAATATTTCAAGTCATATTCATATAATCTCAATTTGTAGTAAGATACAAGACTACAAATCGGCTTGTAAAAAATAGTTCTGCAAATTTCAAAAATGCCTTTGAACTAGATCAAATAAATCAAAGTTAACATAATCAAGAATAGTATATTACGTACAAGAGCGGGAAAGTAGATTCTTGTATTGTGTGGCGTTTACGCCCGAGCGAAGCAAGGGTGAAAAGATACACGATACGAGAAACTTTCCCGAACATGTGCCGTACCGTATTTTTTGATACGACGTGTGGAAAATGCGATTTTCAACGCACGTTTTCTTCCGAGCGCGCGGGAAAGACGCACTTTGCGCACGGAGTATCGAAAAGTAGATTCTTGTCTCGTGTGGCGTTGACGACTAAGCGAAGCGAGATATCTCGTTCATTTACGTATGTAAATGATAAATGTTCATATAATTAAATTACCATAGCTGTAGACAAACCAGATGGTAAGGAATAATTTATCGTATTATGATTGAATATAGTACAGGAGACAGCAAACTGCAAATTGCTAAATTGCAAACAGCTACTAATTTGCTTTTCTAAAATATGCGTGGAATTAGTCTCTGTCTTATTTCTTACTATTAAACGTATTTTCTACTAAACATATTTTCTTTATCTTTTATAGTGAAAATCATGATTTCGTTATTTAATAAGATAACACTGTAATGTTATTAACATTAGTAGTAAATATTTTGACTAGATATTATATTATAAACACTTTCATTATTTCAAGTTATTTATTGATAAATTATTTTATACTTATTACTGTTTCCTATAATGCTTATTTTATTATAAATTTATAATCGTCATGATTAGAAAATTATATAATTTAAATAAATAAGTTTTTGCATTTCGGATTTTCCGCCATCTTGGATAACCTTCTTGCTTCACAGCTCGTATAGTTATATATATATAGTAGGTCAAAGAAAAAGTATGAACATGTTTGAAGATAATAAAGTTCTCGAAAAACATATCTAACCAAAGAAGCAAACAAGTGACACATGTACGTAACCCCTCGGAAAAATCCATATACTCATAGTACTCAGTCTCATGACATATGGGCAAAGAAAAATACGTGAATAATTACGTGATGGAATCAAGAAACTTTGAATTATAAAACTTTTTTCAACAGGGTAGCCCAGTTGGTTGCATTTGTCATTTAGACGTGTTCGTTTGAGGGTCTTATATCCTCGCCATTTAGTATATATTCCAAATGTGTAATTTAAATTTTTATACAACTGACGGTCTATCTACGAACGAAATATCCATTATGTCTAAGCATATTATCGATGTAAAGCACGAGTATTTACGATTAACTGATTTTCAACGCGATTGTTAGGGTTCACCATTGTTTCCAGTTGATTATCAAAATGAAGAACGCTAGGAAAAATCCAGGTAACAATTATTATCATTTTGAAAAATAGATAAAATATCCGTAATGTTATAATCATAGGTTAGATGTGCCCTTACACACCTTTAAAAATAATACTAATCGTTATTGATGTTCACGGTTTTGTTTGTTTCCAGATTATAAGAGAACGTATAAAGATTTTTTCATATTTAATTATACAATATTCGCCTCCATATTTGCTATTGTACTCTTCTTCTATGGATTTTTTCCAATAAACTATAATGAAGGTATGATAGCAACCAGAAAAAATATTCCCAGATATGTTGAACGTACAAGGTAAATAGTACATTAAAGATTTAATAAATAAACACATTAAAATACTATTGATTTACAGGATTAAGCTTGATGAAGTTTACAGACCAGTGGTCAAGAAAGTAGTAATAATGGTTATTGATGCTATGAGGTGGGATTTTGTTGCAGGAATTAATAGTAGTTATAGAATGCCTTTTACAACTAGTTTGTTGCAAAATAATGCTGGTTGCATTTATAAAACAAGAGTCAAGCCACCAACAGTTACCATGCCTAGAATTAAAGTAAAATTAGGTGTTTATTTTTTCACACACAATCATAAAGCTAAAAATTAATTATAATTTTTCATTTGAAGGCAATGACTACAGGATCAGTTCCCAATTTTATAGAGGTAGTATTAAACTTAGGAGCAAATGAAATTTTTGGTGATAGTACTGTAAGGCAAGCGTATCGTCATGGGCACAAAATAATTTTTTATGGCGATGATACATGGTTGAAACTTTTTCCCAATATCTTTCATAGAAACGAAGGGACAAACTCATTTTACGTAAATGATTTTACCGAAGTAAGAACCTTTTAAACTGTCTTCTCTAATTAATTATAAACTTCATTTTATTCAAGCTGAAATTGTTATTTTTAGGTAGACTATAATGTTACAAGAAATGTAGCTATAGAGTTAGAACAAAAAGACTGGTCAGTGATGATATTGCATTACTTAGGACTTGACCATATTGGTCATATAGCTGGACCTTTTAGTCCTTTAATAAAACCAAAGCTTGAGGAAATGGATGAGATAATTGGTAGCATTGAGTCTTATGTATCAGCATGGGTATTCTGACTTGTCTCCCTATTTTAGCAAATGAAACATTAGCTGTGTGCTTAAAGGTATTATATCCATTTTTTAGAATAGAAACCATGAGCCAACACTATTTTTAGTATGTGGTGATCATGGTATGAAAGATTCTGGAGGCCATGGTGGAGCTACCTCAGAGGAGACCCTTGTGCCTTTGTTAGCATTTGGTAGACCTTGTACAAACAAGAACGAGGACATAGCTCAAATCGATATTGCATCTACACTTTCAGTACTTCTTGGAACTCCAATACCTTCTTCTAATCTTGGATCTGTAATCTTAGAATTAATGAGTGAACTCACGTGGTCACAAAAGCTCTTTGCTCTATACTATAATGCTGAACAACTATTTCTTCAATACCAAAAAATTCCTTCTTACTCAACTACTGGTTAGTAACGAAATTAAAAAAAGAGCTTTAATAATTTTCATGAATGTTCTGTTTTTTTAGATGCTTTTACAAACTATCAAAATGCCATAAAACTCCATTCAGCTTGGCTGAATGCTAACAGTCATCCAAACGAAATGGTGCCTGACATTATTCTAATGTACCAATCTGCCATAGTAGAGATGAAAAATACGTTAACAAGTAGTTTATTAGAATATAATGTTCAAGCGATGACTCTTGCCACAGTTTTATTAGGACATGTAAGTAACAATGTCATGTCCTGTGTGTAAAAATGACAGTATATTAAATTAATATTCGTATTGTTGGGTATTATTTTAGATACTATACATATTCCTGTCAGTGGACAGACAGTTTACGACTCGTAGAAATTATATTACCGTGATTATTTCTACTTACATCAGTTGGGCGTTTTTAAATCAAATACTCGATCCCGAAAGCCAAAGTGCATTATTTTTACAAGAACTAGATTCAAATTCTATACTTTTAGCAGCTGCGGCAATAGTAACGTTATTCGTAAATTGTTATTTATGTGCTACTCGCACAATACCTATTTATCAAGTAAACCACATTTTGAGAAGCATTTTGACATTGTCTATTTGTCTTAATTTTTTATCATTTTAATTTTTCCATTTCAGTTCAAAACTTTGACGAGTTTAGAGATTTTATTAGCCATTGGAACTCTCCTTCATACTATATCTCTATGTGGTACTAGTTTTGTAGAAGAAGAACACCAGACTTGGTATTTTTATTGGATAACGTTGCTCACGTTTTTCACTCATAAGACTTTCAGAGAAGAATCTAAACAATCTAAAGAGAATCCCTCAGAGTTCTACACATATCTAATAATTGTGATGATCGTTCATAGAGTACTTAGAAAACTTAATAGTACAGGCGACAAATACGCACATCTTCCTGATCTTTCAGGATGGCTTCAGAATCAAGAATCTAATATACCTATGACAGTTGTTTTAGTCTCAGGTATTTTTATTGATAACTATTACATGAAAAAAATTTGAATTGAACTAAAAATTAAATTAAATTATACTATGAATTTTACGTTCAGGTCTTTCCTTGCTAATATTGATAGATTATCTTCACGAGCAACCCCAGCACAAAAAGTATGTACTGGTTTTAGATGGATTTATTGCGACGTTAACGTACATAAGACATGCAGTTACCGATACAGTATTTAAACCTAGTTTTTATTTTGACTCAAGGTATTTGAAAATAATACTCTTTTAATCACTGTTTCTATCTACCATAATTTCATCTTACTTACATAATAAGTAACAAGATATTTTGTATGTAAGTTGTGCTCGGTCGGTGGAGGTAATGCGTTAAAATACACTTTTAATGTTTCGTTAACAAATTTGTTAACCTTTTCAAAAAGAAATAACAACCTGAAAGTGCTATGATCGGAGCAAATGAATGTAGTCGGCTAAAAAATTATTGGGGATAGCAAAAGAATAAGGAAATTTACATGGTTCCAAAAGGACAAAAAAATGGTATTTCCAAATCTAGGTCACATTTCGTACTATTAGTACGAAAGACATACAATATATATGAAATAGGAGTTTTCCACAAAGAAACGTAAAAATATGACAGATTTTTGAAACTTGTTTTTCTCCTTGTGGTCTATTAGGATTATTGGGTCCGAGTCAACTGCATGTATTTGTTCTGATCATAACACTTTCAGGTTGTTATTTTTTTCTAAAGTGGTTAACAAATTTGCTAACGAAACGTTAAAAGTTACTTCCTTTACTGTATTGTCTTCACCAATTGATCACAGCTTTAAATAAGATGGAAATAATACATATCGTTATTTGTTGAAAGCTTATTACACCTATTTTTTTCAGAGGAACAGTAGAAATGTATTATTTTTGGGCCTTCATGGGAACTTACTTGGTACATAATACCTACAGATTAGCAATCACAATGAGACATAATAGACATAAAATTATATCACATTCCTTATTCTTCATCTTGAAAAAATGGGTGATCATTTCTTGTGTCTTACACCGTCCATATAATGTGATTTTACTGCCACTGCAATTGATTGTTGGAGTAGTGATTCATAATTTGACGAAAAATCAGAATAATTCTGGAGTAAAAGTATATCTTTATCTCTGGTCCAGTAATGCATTTTACTTTTACCAGGTATAGTTGATTCTTTCTAAGACAGTAAAAAAATAGAAATATAATAACGGGGAGGACGATCATTTTCAGGGAAATTCAAATAGTTTAGCTACTATTGATGTTGCTGCTGGCTACGTCGGACTTGAATCATATCTGCCAGTTATAACAGGCATCTTCTTATCTATTAATACCTATTCAGCACCAATATTAGGATTATTATTATACTTATACGATTATTCTCTACAGTATCCTCTTCTGTAAGTTTATAAGTAATTCTAATAAAAGATCGATCATAAAATAAAAATTAGTAAACTTATATTCATGGGGATTTCTTGCAGGTCGTCTAAATCAATGTTATCACTGTGTACACAATATACGTTTTGGAGATTAGTTCCAATAACTTTTTATACAATTGTTACAAGTTTACAACGTTACCACTTATTTGTTTGGACAGTATTCTCACCAAAATTGTTATATGAGGCTATGTATTGTATAGTACTCTTTTCTGTGATGTTTTTATTGCAATTTAATTTTATATTTTATGAATGGAGGAGTACACAAACGAAAATTTTGTAGATGAAAAAAATGTTAGAATTAAATTACGTGAAACTTAGACGTTTAGTTTCTTTGCAGATTCAGGGGCTCTTCAATCATTGTCTGGCATTTGAGCTTGGATCAATCTAACATTGGTAGGACTGTATTAAATTATCAGACTGTATTAATTATGCTATACAAGGTATTGCACAGTTTGATTCAAGTTAATGAGATCTCAGATTCAGTTAATGGAATGGCATTCAAGCTACAGATTTCGAACCATCTGAACTTTAAGCAGCGTTTGCTCAATCTTTCTAAAGTTTAATATACAGTATTGTAATATGATTTACTACTCAAAATTAAAATGTTAACAATAAAAATAAAAATCATGAGACTCCAAACATATTGTGAAAATAAGCTTGTTTCACATATTTATTCAATTTCTCAACTTAAAATATGAATAGCTTTAAATCATATTGTTCTGTAAATTAATTTATGCAAGTTTTTCAATAAAATTGGACAGTACTTGCAAGTACCTTTCACATTTTTTTACATTTATATCTTACAGTTACAAAATTTTTTTAACTCATAGTTGAACATCATTATATAAGATAGGAGTTGTAATGAAATTCTGATATTTGTATGTTAGGTGGTTGACGTTTTTACTTTGATTTAAATCATTACATCATAAAATATATCTATGATTAAGTTTTTTACATATAGTTTTAAGCTATTTACATTACTTTATACATTAAAAATTACAAGTTTCTATTGGATAAAAATACATTTATGAAACATTATATTGCCATCAAAAGTCATTAGAATCGAATGATAGGAATCGAAATATCCAGAGTCAAAAGTTTGCAACATGGATAAGTTATTTTTTTAAAGTATTATTTTCATTTGATAAAATAATATCTGTAATCGCATCTTAGGAGTAATCAAAATTATTATAAAAACATGTATATTCAAATTTACAAAAATGATGAGGTTGCATCTCGTATCATAAAAAATTTCCGAATGTGGTATGTACTGTTCATAAAACAAAAATAATATCTGTTTAATTTTAACAATTTATTGTGCGCAATTATTAAAAGTCTTTCGTTGATACTCGAACTAACCGAGAAATCGAGCATAAAGTAACGAATTTAAAGGGAAATAACGATTGTAAATTGATATGATGAACTTACGTAAAATTGTGTGGTAAAAGGCAGTATGATATCGCATAAAAATATCATGCTTGACTAAAGTCTTTCAAAAACGAGTTCTATACTCATAATGAAATAAAAGTCGATAACGTGCCAGGCTCGTTAAAATTGTCTTTGTACATTATTTTCTCGTGATATGAAACAACATTATAACTTCCCCTTAAACACGATACTGCAATACTCTGAGATTTTAACTTTATAATGAAACATAATAAAAGTTACCATAACGTAAAGAATTCGTGTAAAAGACATTACACAGTCAATTGACGATATTTGGCATTCAATTGCAATGCATCTCGATTGATACTTTCCACCAACGGGTTTTCCTTCTTGAGAATGCTTTAGAACGGCGAGTTCATGCCGAGTTTCGTTGTGAACTCCAGCCTAGCTCTTTTTTGGTACCTAACGTTAACTCTGTAAAATTCGAAAATAAATCATCAGCAATGCCTTTTTCAATGAAAATAATCCGCAAGAATAAAGAAAAAATGAAAACCCACTTGATTTCCTGCCACTTTATAAACTCGTTGATAAGAAATATCAAAGGAAGAGAGACGAAAAAGTAAAGTGGCAAGTTAACAGGGAAATTGGCTACTCTTGTATCTTTCTCCCTCCAATAGATGTAGAACGCACTGACAGAAAATGCTACTTGCACACATATACTACGAAAAAAAATGTCAATTCAAAACATATAGTAAGCATCAGTACTGAACAATATAAGAACACTGACACTATGAAAGCCGTTGAGAACCACAGCCAATTGTTGAAAGGCAGCTTTCGCCAGATACAGTACTCTCGATGGACGAAGCTTATTGATATCGTTACTGAAAAGCCAAAAACGTTATTAAAACAAGTAAAAACAGACAATAATGGTCACTGCCAAACGATCCTCACCGAAATGTAAAACAATTATAACTAAAGCAATGTTTTGAACAACAATTAACATGTCGGGCCTGTTGGTATCCCAGCCACCCCATGAAGTATTGTTCGTTACATTCGGGTAGACGTAGAAACACTGAACGCCGGGGCCAACATACGTTGAACACAATACGAGTAGAGACACGCACTGCCAGAGTAGCACTGTGATTATCGTGGGTAAAAATTTGCTACCGTAGCACCAGAACACGAACAGAGCAACCTGTTGAGCAAGCCATTTGGTTAGACACAGAGCGACCAATTGGAAAGTCAATCGTAAGACAGTCGACAGCTCACCTGAGCACTGATGCCGCACTGATTTTTGCCGGTGGCTTGTTGCATGATTATAGGGTCGGAGGGACTGCCAACGAGAGAGACAGCGAGTAATGGCACAATGAGACAAGTCAGCCAGAGCACCTGGCCGACGCTAAACAACGGCGGCAAAAGCAAAAAAGCAGAGACAGCCTGAACCAGCGACAGGGTGACCATGCAGCACAGCCAGAATTGCACGCAGTTCCACAGGCACTTCATGTAACGTCGAGCCTAGCAACAGAGAGCAAGCGCGCGGTGTTCGACTTGTGGCAGATCAGCAGCGAGGGCTCCGCTCGACTGAAACATTACCTCCATCACTAGGTGGTAAATGGCGATCGGGTCTTCGCGCCTGACGCTGAGCGAGCAGGACACCGAGTTGAGGCTTCGACTAAGCTCGATCGGCGAAAGTCCTTCCTCTGGCCGAACAGGCGCGAGCACAGGCACTCTTTGGCATACTTGAGGGTAGAGCGGCTCCACTGCCACACTGCGATCAGTCGAAACACAAAGCTCGCCGACTGTCGCTTGTTTCGCCCCTCGGGAAACCTCACTTTCTTGCGAGTCAGCATGTCCGCCACGCGCAGTAATTCGTCGAAGAGCTCGAGCAACGGCGACCGAGTCAAGGCGACGCCGAAGAATGAGAGCACGAAAGTCGCGCCGGCCACAAGAAAAGCTCTGCCGAGGAGCAACGTCGCGCCGAGAAAGCCCAGCAAAGAGTTCGAGACTGTCTATCAGGCGTCCTACTGTCGACCGAAAAGGGCGAAGAGCACCACTGTCTCGCGGATCAACTGCGGCTCGCAAAGGGTCACCGTCAAGCATTGACGTCGAGGGGCGACTTGTCGAACAACGAAAATTCTTCGCCCATGTAATACCATCGAGACCGCTCGCAATAAATTTGGCTAAACCCTAGCCCTCTCAGTTCGTGAAAGACGCGTTTGCGCTAAGCTGTTCGATACTTACGCTGCGTCCGCCTGCATAAATATCGGCATATTTTCAGCGTTGGCCGACGAGCCAAGCACACACACAACCTCTCCGTAATCTTGCATGATGTGCAGCATCTCGCGGGTGACGGCGGTATTGCAATCGGTGAACAGCGAGACGAGCAGTGGCACGTTGTCGATCAACTCGATATGCGGTCGAATCTTGTCGATGCCTCTCGGCAGCTTCGCCTGCGCCAACAATCAATGCATTGGTTTGTTTGTAAGAATCGGGGGATGAATCGACGCCCTTGACTGGCTCAACTTACCCTGTTGGAGAGGTCGAAGTTGACGGGCGCACTCTGCTCGGTGCTGTCCGTCAAACAGCTGAGCGATCGCCAGGCTTCTTGACCGGAGCCCAAATCGATACTCTGCACTAGCACGCTGTCCTCGCTGCGCACTGTCTCTTGTTCCCTGAGAATAACATTGAAATTTCGTCGATAGCGGCGATTTCACGCGAATCCAACCTGCGGATCGTTAACATCGGCAAGCAACAAGTTACAGGTAGAAACGCAAGCGACTATTGTGGAGAAAGTACGAATCTTCGAGTCTTTCATCCAGTCGTACAATTCAAAGTGTCGCGTGAGAAGTGCTATTAGGGGTTGGGTTGACAGTGATAATCCGTTCAAGAAAAGAAGGTGTCTCACGTTGAATACCTATGACCCAGAGCACTCTTAGGCTGCGAAGACTTGTCGGCGCTCCACTCGGTGGTCTCGTTCTCGAACTTGACGGTCGACAGCTCGGTGTTGATGGCACTTGGCGCCGACATGCTCAGTTGCCTGTGATTATCCAAATTCGAGCTGCAAGTGGGTCATCGCAAAATAATTTCGAGAACTTTAAACAGCGCGGAGGGGATAAATCTATAGTTTCGTTTGTCCGTGCATGCACAACTAAAGTAACCCTCATACAGCCAAGAAAACACTTATGAATAAAGTTAGTGTTAGTCGACTGGAATGCAGATTCGACGTGTGTACATGAACGAATGAATGTGGGTGTGATAAAGAGAAAGCAGAAGAGTATAGTGACGTACCGAGGTAAGGAACGATTAAGTAATTGGCTGGCCTCGTCATTCTGGCAGTAAGATTGTTGTTGGATACGACGATGTGGTGACGACATGGCCGCAGCCTGGCTTGCCCACCAGCCAGTCGGGCTTTCTGACCTGTTAGTCTCACATTAATGTGTGTATCGCGATCGCAATCCGTATATGTATTTTATTAGTTCACATAGCACAATGAGATTGATGGAGCGACATAGACTGATGATCTTACTTTTAGTTTTGAACAACGCATCTGTCATGCGTCGTCAATTATCATGTTAATCACAAGTTGTGCACTTACAGAAAATTCGATATTCATATCTTTGTGAAAAAAGTGAATAGAATTTTACTAATTGTTTTATTTTAATGAGAATGCAACTTCTGTAAGTGTCAATGATTTGTCAAATAGCTTGTAACACATCAAGTAATTTAAGTAAAACAGTGATAAGTTAAGCCAACAAGCAGGCCAATGAGTCATTTGTCTCTGGCAAAGAGAGAAAAAGAGTATTAGTGTCTAATCGCATCAGCAAAAGCTGCTTAGCAGAACTGGACAACAAGCGCGCGAAACGAAACTAAACATCAGCAAATGAAAAGATAAAAGCCGTCAAATAATAAGTATAGACAAACATATACGCTGAGAACAAGTGTGGATATCTCTCGAGCCACTGTTGCCTCCTGTAATGTACATGCACAGTTAATAATGCCGGTTAACAATGAAAAAAACATCGTTCATTCACGTAAACGTATTATTCTACACGTAAAAAGCTAGAGTTAACGATGAATAAAAGAGAAAAAGAAAAAGAAAGCGAGTGAGAGAAAGAGAGAGAGAGAGAGAGAGAGAGAGAGAGAGAGAGAGAGAGATAGAGAAAGAGAGACAAGAAATAAGTCAATATTATCCCCGCGTAAATATCCCTGCTAAACAATGGTGGCACTCGAAAGCTCTTGTAGTTATTCAAAATACCTCGCGCGTTCGCTGAGCAGAGATATGTGACAATTCCAACCACTCTCAAGACCCATTTTTTCTGAGAAGACACGCGAGCGCAGCTCATTCTCTTTGCTGAAATGGACGAATCTTATGCACGCATGTTCCAGCTGCTCTATTAGTTGTACCTGAAAAATAAATAGTTTATAAACGATCCTGATAACTAGAAAAATTTAGATGAGTTTAAAAAAAACAAACCATATCGGTTTGGGCTTGGTATTGCATCGTGACCATTCCAATGAAGATTTGATTGCACTGGAGTTCGAAGCAACTATCGATACTGTTCACTTCATCATCTTTGGTGTCATTGCACAATAAAGAATCTGCCAAATATCTCCGTTATTATAAATCAAAAATACTCAAACAATAGTATTTTCTTAAAGACTTTCAAACCCACCAGTAGAATGAAATTGTCCAAGCAAGCTCTTAATTCTTGGATCGAGCACATTTTTAAAATCCCAAGGTATTGGTGTAGGACTTCTGTGAGGCGCGTACAGGTGCTTACTTTCTGAAGGAAGTTCCAAGTAAATGTGCGACAGCTTGTTACTTACACTCCGTGTTAAAGGTCTGTAAGCGAAAGCCGTGCAATAGGACGTCAAACTCGTGCGGTTATAAAAATCTTGCACCTTTTTCCTGTCACCATATCACATATTGAACAGTTGTTAAACATGTATTTCAACGGAACCAAAATACACAAGCTTACTTATCAGTCTCAGAAATAGGGCATAAATCATGCCCGTCCCAGAACTCGATACACGAATCCAGAATAATATCCGCAGTACCCTGCGACAACAGTTGTAAGCCACCGCCATTCTTCTCTTTTACGACTACAGCAACCATATGAGGAAACGGAAACTTGAGCTTTGTCGCGATGCTCAACGAGCGAGCAAATTTTATATCGCGCCTTGCCGCCTCCGGTTGCTAAAAATCACATGTTTATAGAGTTTTTCAATATCAACGTTGGAAAATTATTATATATACCACGTGTCTGAATGTTGATAATTGCTGCTCAAGTTGAAAGATATCTTTGGCTTGATCCTTGAAGCCAATCTGCTTAGCGAGCTCACACAAACACCTAATAATGAAATAGTCATTAGAGTCGCGTCAACGCGTTCAATATGATTCAGTTAGCACACTTAGACGTGGCAATACAAGCAGAAACGCAGCAGGTAAACAAAATAAGAAAAAGCACAGTAAGCGCAAAAGTGAAATGGCAAATAAATAAAAGAGTAATATGGTGCATCCCTCATAGACCAACCACCAATTATTTAGATGACAAATAGGATAGAATCGTATCTCATACAAGTAACTTAAATGGGGAGCGTTTCTCTGATACGATCCGATCATTAATCATTCACAAGTAGAAATTATTCCACTAGGATATATATGAGATAATATACAGAATATAAGTTTGGTTTGATAGGGAAACAACTGACCACATGTGTCCGAGACATCCGGATTCATCGATATAATACATCTGTCTCGTGCTTTGTATGGTATCATACCCACATTTCTCCTCAATGTTTGCGTGGCTGCTGCGTGGGACAATTTTTCGGACATTTCACGTCCTATGTTAGTCGAACGTATTGAAATAAAGCTGTTTTTGTTTAATTTAAAACGTTTCAAAGTCTCGACTTCGTCTCATGGTACTTTAGTTGGTCTGCGTATTGTTAACAAAAGAAATAATAAAAAGTCAAACTGAACAAATTTACAAACTCATTCGCTTAGACACAACGAAAAAACAAGCTTTTTGCTATAAGTGCTAGACACTTTTCACTAAATTGACGTTATCTATTAGCAGAGATGGGCTAGAGTTTTACTTCAAATATTCATATTTGAAGTAAAAATTTTTATATAATAAAAACTGAATGAATTAAAATTAAAAAATATATTCAAATAAAGTTTCTTTTAATTAAATATTATCAACATCTGCCCATCTTTGATCGTAAAAAATAAAATTAAATAGTACCGTCTATTCGTAACAGGAACAAGATTTTCATTATACAGCGCCTCACAGGTGACATGACAACAGAACTGCGTATAGTGCTCCTGCGTTTCCATATTACAAGTATTAAGAAGAATGGCAAGTCCGAGAGGTTTAAGAGAATTAAGATGCTGACGCCACGAGTGATCATCGAACTGGAGTTTGAATGGCAAAGCTCGATCGTGCGTTAGGTCCAGGACTTCGGCTACCGTATGCGAAGTTTCTAAAATTGAATTACAATAGTTAGATAAAATCGAGTATTGATTATTATTTTTGACACTTTTTTTTACCATGTTGCACAAAAGATGTTCTGTTCGAGTCTTGCTTTGTACTCTCACCCGGATGATTAGGATCGACGGATTTATTTAGACTGGCCATGCTACAAAAATAAAAAACAATTAAAACATCATCAGATGTGACAGAATTGATACATAATTTTAAAAAGTTTGCCTCGACGTTCGTGAATCAGTATTGGTGTTAGGATTCGTGTTGGCATTGGCGTTTCGTAGAAAAAATACTTTTTCCGCTGTAGGGTTTGGCCACGATAATATTCCTTTCTTGTCAACGCAACATAGTGCCTGAAAAAATTAATACAATAGTAATCAATTACTATGAACGAAACTAACAAGTACAACTCACCGTGACAGAACCTAAAACGTGTAAAATATTAGCGGACCTCGTCATCATATGTTCTTTGCCGAACATAATATCCCAAAAATACTCGGATAATTCAGTCCAATTATAAACAACCTCAGGATGATTGGGATCCGAGGTTTCTTCAAATGGATCTAAAAACTAAATTTAAGAAAATGTTCATTAAGAATTCTTTTTTTGGTATTATGAAACGTACCTGAGCCTTTTTAGAAGACTGATAAAGTCTAAAAAGTGCTTTGAACCTGGCCATACCAAAACAATTGAGGGCAATCCACCAGAAAGGAAAGGCAATAGGCAACAGAGGAAGAGTCACAGCGACAGGTTGCAAGAGAAACATCTTGGTCCAGTGTCCCACGCCGATATAATCGTATAGGTAAAGGTATCGCACGAGGTTGAACAGAATTATAAGTAATAAGAGGGCAGGATAGATAATTTGCTCGATGCAGCAGATCATGACTAAGTGTCGCTCGCGATTGTGATAAGTTACAGGCCGATCTAAAGCTTGATCCAGAGCCAAGCGAACATTTGTTAGGTAAGGTGTTTCTTGCAGCTTGTAGATTTTGTTAGTTAACGGGGCACGAGCCTGTGGTACGGTGAACGCCCCGCTGCCACTGTGTACTTGTGGACTGTAGATCTCGCGAGCGTGTAAGACTGGGGCCTCTAGATCCTAAAAATTATTTGTTACATCAATAATTACGAATTAATAAAGTCGTAAAAATTAAATGACTACACTCGCATCATAAGGAGTGCAAAAACCAGGTGCTTGCTGTCCTGGTTTCATCACGAGGACATCACCAGCCACCAAAAGAGCCCATGGTAAATTTACTACATGACCATCTCGATATGTCCATTGAAGAGTGATGCAAGGTGACAGAGGGCTACATATATGTGGGTAATTTTCTGGTTGCCAATAGCACTTTGCTTTTGCAACTAAAAATAAAAATCAGCTTTGTATTTCAATTTCTACAAATTGAATCAATCATACTTGACGTTATTTACCATCCAGCTGTTTAATTAAATTTTTAACTCTGTAGAGAATTTCAAGATGACGTAGTCTGTTATCTGAGATTACTAAAATACAGTTGAACAACATAAGAAAAATAATTATAATTCCTTCACAAGGCCAGTAGGAGTATCTAAAATGAAAATTATTTATATAAAATGAGTTCTCTATAAAATTATTAAATGTGTGGAAAAAAATCTTACTCAAGATTATCTTCTGTAAAAAAAGATATTATTAACAAGGTAGCACTTATCAGAAGTGCCACTGCTGATGTCCAACAAAATGTTGTATATTGACTCTTATGATGCAAAGCATCTTTCAACCATCCTTTATATTTCCTATTAGTTGATAATAAACTATGAGTCACAAGAGAGATCTATATGAATAATTTACTCTTGTAAGAAACAAATACCTACTTGTTCTTTTTACATTCTATTTCATATTCTTCTATCACTCGTTTGATATCTCTTTGTAAGATATCTAAAGATTCTCCAGTGGACAAACCTAGATTTACAAACTCTGACTCCTTCTTTGCCTCTTTTTTATCAACATTCTCACTCTGTTCCTTTTCCATTACTTTCAAATAAAAATTGATTTAATAATGATTGAAAAAAATAAAGAAAATATATGATCAAAATTTGCATGTCTACGTACTCTCATGTATTGCCTACATCAAATAAATAAAAATTCTTGAAGTAGTCAGATTTATAATATTTAACTCTCATCATCAAGACAGTGGGTACTTCATTTTATCTGTAACATATGTATGTTTAAAAAGAACCAATATTTACAATGGTATTTAATATGTAAATATTTGATCAATAGCTATAGTATTGGTTATAAAATCTCGTGAATAACAAGCAGTATTGGCAGATTTTAAGACTTAAGTGAAATATCACTACCAACATACATGAAAGTCAAAAAAGCTCATTTACAACCAGTATATAATAGGATAAAAATAAATTCTACAAAAATAGAAACTTAATTCATCAAAACACCCATTTAAAAAATCGCGTTGGTAACGCTAATTGTTTCGAATCCCATTAAAGCATTGCTATACGGGTTCATTAATAACCAAAACAATAACACTTTCTGTCACAAATATACCTTTTTCATTAATAATTTATATTTAAGTACAAACAATATCAAGGACATAAAAGTACATTACATTATGTTTCGTAAACATTAACAATCCAAAATTTCCTCATGCCATTTAAAAATACTTGTCTCATATCGCCCACTGCTAAAAGTAGTAATCGAACACCCTTACTTTGTAAAACTTTGCAACAATAACATACTCCTCTACCAGACTGTCAGAGTGACTGTACTGCAAATAGAGAGATTAAGGTTATGTCGTCGAAGAACGTCGACGGAGGGGAGGACGGTTATAAGTATATTTATATATAAAAGTCAAAAAGTGGTCAAATTATATTTAATCAGTGATGTTTGTATATATACCGCGCTTTATTATCGCGAAGTATAAAACATTAACAATTATAAAAATGATTAAAACTACATAATTAACTTAGATAATATACCTAGATTTTAAATAAATATACTAACATATGATTATGTTTATTGTACACATACGAAATCATACAGATTTGTTCTAGGATTAATTTAAGTAACTATTTAAAATATTGAATTATAAATTTCGTCATTACAGTTAATAAATATAATAAAATTTATTTCACAACAGCCAAAGAAAATTATAAAGTTTTTGATATATTTACTTCATATAGTATTAAATATTACGTTATGACTTTAATTTTCACAATCTTGAGCTGCCTTGAAATAGCTTAATTGTAAATTTGAAATTTATAATTCAGTTAGGCGCCATCTGTGAAACGCACGTAAAGCAAAAATAAAAAATATAATATCTCACTTTTTTCTAAGAAAAGAGAAAAAGCGCCAATCGTACAATTTTAACTTGACGTTATCGCGCGACTTATCGGTCTAAGCGAACAAATCAAAAACTACGACGCTCGTGGGTATACACACAACTATCGAGAGACATAAGAAATCAAAGACGACAATTACAGTATCTTATAAGCGTTAATTATTCTAACAATGCTACGTATACGTAGCTCATAAGGTAAAGCATTTACAAAGAACATTTTTTTCACGTGATACTTAGAAATCAAACAAAATTTCTCAGAAATCAGAACTTCTAGACTTATAGAATAGGTGTGGTTGTTTTGTTCCGATTATCATAAGCTTATTGTGTACTATGTATACTATGGATAATGTAAACACTATATTTTAAGAATTATCCAATCGCGACCAAATATATGTGAGAAATAGTAATATGTATGTATAGATTATGCTGTTATCACATTTCCTGTGCTCATCATATGTTTAAGCTTTTATTGTAGAAAACATAGATAACTGATTCAGTTGTGTAAAATAATGATTGTGATTTCATTGGATTTCAGTGAATAAATAGTTTTTCCGCAGTTTAAATGAAAGTCACTAAATTACTATAGGATTTTATTGGTTGTATCTCAATCTCATTTTTATTAATTATCTTCAAGAAATCACTTTAAAAAAGTGCCGAAGTTAATAGATTCATTCATGATTTCACTGGCTTAAAAATAATCGGCAAAAGATAATCGACTCATCTTATTTATTTGTAAAATGGACACGGTTTCCTAATCACGTTTAGCTTTGCGCGCGAGGCGACAGTACGAGTAACAGAGGGCGATGTGGTGCAATGGTTAATCAAATATGGCGATTGGCGAATGGCGATGCATAATCATGAGAATAACTGATTAGAGTGGTTGTTTTTGATCTAAGGATAAGAATATTAATTATCAGTGTTTATTTTTTGATGACAAGTCTACCTCGCGCCGTATGAATAATACTTTAAGCTATAGAGTATTTAAAATCAATCTTCAATCACAAAAGCGATATCATTATAACGTCTAGCCGTGTAATGTACTTTTGCAGATAAGAGTTTTTTTTATTAATCTTGGAATCATTTATGCGGTTCCAAAATGTCAACGTTCCAAAATAAAACCGACAAGCTACTTCAGGTTTTACAATTATTCTTGCAACCGGATTTTACAATCTCTACAACTACATACTTAGATTTACTATTGACACATCTTACAAAGGAAATCAAGAAAGGTAAAATGTGAAAAAAAATACTGACAAACATCTTTTCAATACAAAACGATTAATAATTTCAAGTGTCATAATTACTATTTCAAATTGTATTTGATTAATAATACTGTCTTGATTTCAACAGGTAATCAAGAAGTATCTCAAATTTTACAAACGTGGTTGGTTACTGCTTTTAATACATGGAATGACAAGTTTAAACCATGTCAAAGTTTAATTACTTTTACCATAAAATTGATTGCTACATTGTCTGAAAGTGAATCAATTTTCTTTCATCTCCATCAAAATGAAATCCTTCATAAAGCCAGCGAGCTGCTTGAATTTAAAAAGCAGACTTTGCCAGCTTCAATTAAAATGGCATTTACAGAAATGTGTGTAAAATTGGTTGAACACCCAACTGGTAGACGATGGATTGTGCATACAGGTAAATTTATATAAAATTTGGAAATTAAACATGTCTATATTAAGTTTATTCATTTTTATTGCATTTTTAGAAGCTTGGAAAATCATATTGAGTTGTGCACAAGCAAATTGCACAATGTACGTGAATAAAGAGAGTCAGAAGTTTTTGTCAATATTATTGATCAAAGAAAGTTACAATCAAGCTCTATGTCAAGAAATCATTTTAGCAATTACACAGCCATTGGTTGAAATGACTCATAATCCTCAAGAAAGTAATTCACAGTTTACTTTAAGTAAGTCAATTATTTTATTGCATTATTTTAAAAAAAATTTTTAAAAGTCTTATTGCTTTTTATTACTATTTTATAATATTAATTATTTAATCAGCAAGTTATTACAAATTATTGTTTCTCTTTTTCTAATAGATAAACAAATGCTTTCGGATCAACATAATCTTTTGTTATCAACATTGGAGTTATTATATGCAATATTAGAATATGCAGTGTTTATTGATTTAGAAAATCCTATTCCTGATATGTTTGAAGATTTTATTGGATTAGATAATCGTATAAAAATTTTATTTGAAGTAACGATCAGTACCCCATTTGTCAAAATTTTGGAGAAATTAGCAGTATTATGTGCCTACTCCAACTTGCGAAAATCAATTAAATCTGATTCTGAGCCAGGTTCTCTTGACGAAAAAAAATTTGAAGGATTTTGTTCCACATTGTGTTACGTATCAAACTTGCTCATGTCCAAAAAATTTATATTAGATCTGGCTCTTACAAAAAAACAAGGAATGATTTTTTGGCATAAACTCAATAAATTAAAAAAAGTAGCAGCTCCTCATCCTTACAAATTTGAAATCCAGGCTTTAACTTTATTGGTTCATACTTTTTACTCATACTTATTTTCTTCTTACGTAATAAATAACGTAAAGGAATAAATTTGTCTTGCAGATCCTACCTTTATGTGTGACTGTCAAGCCCAAACATATGAAAGAACATTGTTTGTTTGAGGATTACATTGATAAACTGTTTACTCTAACATGCCAACCAATTCAGCGTATTGCTTACACTATGAGAGATATATTATTCAAAAATGATTTTCCCATGGAATACATATGTAAATCAGTTGTTGAATACTTGTTGGAAATTGTGGAAATATTAGACAGAGTAAACTTTCAATGATTCTTTATCTTAATATTTATATATCATAAATAGTATATTTATTTATAAAAATATTTAATCAAATAGGATGCTGCAGTGATATGTTTTCAAACGATGTGCTATTCGCTTAAAAATTTTGTTGCTGAAAGTACTATAAATATAAAAGGTGATAAGCGTGATGATGCTGACGAAACAGCCACTAGTCCGAAAAATAGTTACCTCAAGAAAAAAATGGAAATAAAATATTTTCTTGATGGAGATCCAATTAATGATAAACCACTTTTATTAGCGGCATTATTGGAAGGCATGAATGTATTTACTGAAAAATTCAAACTTAAGTGGCAAGAGTGTGTAGAAACCATTTGTGTTTTGTCAATTGCTCAAGATATTCTTAACCATCCAGGTGTTAATGCAAAGGTATTATAACTGAATCATACATTATATTGGTACAAAATATGCTATCATTAAATTGAAAAATTTCAGATATGTATATTAGCTTTGAAAACTTGTAAATTGGCAATTGCAAATTTTATGCCACCAAATCTCGTTTTACTGTCCGAATTTGACGAACAAACAAATGAAATTGGTGCCACGCTGTTTAAAAGAATACACGATACCAATTGGGAAGTGCAAGACAGTGTATTCGAAGTTCTTATTACAGTTACTGATCTATGTGAAAATAGTTAGTTTTTTTATACGAAACATTGCATTTTTTCAACTATATGTAATTTTTAAATATTCTTCTAGAATATCCACCATATCAGAAGATGCTGTTAGAAAATCAATTTTTCCAAGTTGCTGCTGAATTAGCAAGGGCCGAAAATGAAAGTTACGTCAGAGCTTCAGCTCTTAAGTTTATTTCTGCGGCTGTTAAAATAAATGCACTGTGGGAAAAACAATTATGTCAATTAAACCTAACGGTACATTCAGAAAACTTAAAATTTATCGTGATTAATTTGTGAAAACAATGACTGAATATGTTTGATTTTAGGATCTTGCCATGAAAATAGTTTATAAGGAAAATGAAGCGGTCGTTAGAAGAGAAGCTGTAGTACTCATAAATAAGCTTTACAAATACAGATCTTGGCAGTGAGTGAAAGCAGTATAACATTTCGAATTCTTTCTTTTGCAAATTTTTAACAAACACTTTGACTTTTCATTCAGAAAACCAGTTATTTCTGCAATGATCCAAGCAATGACAGCTGCGGCCGTTTTAGATCTGGATTGGGAAGTGAAGATTAATGCTTTAGAATTCTGGAGGCATTTCATTAAGTCGCATCTAACTGATCAAGGAATGTTAGACGGACAGTTTCCCAGTGTTACTTTCTCCAAAGAACATAAAAAAATTGTGTCACTTGACGAATGTAAAATTAAACAGAGGCTTAATAAAGTTCTTGACGAATTAGCTCGGCAACGTTGTCTTGGGGTAAATATGTTATTGCAGCATTTGACTAATATTTTTTCGGTAACGACTTCAATTTTTTTAATTATTAGGAATGTTTGACATGTTTCAAAATAATTAGTAAAATTCTTGTCGCCAGCGCTCTGTGTGTGTGTGTGTGTATGCGCGCGCGCGCGTGTGTGTGTGTGTTGGATATTTGAATATCAGAAATTTATTATCATTTTAGGTATTATTAGTATCATTGAAAGACGAAAGCGATTTGGAAGTAGCCAAAACCTCAGCCAATATTATCGCAGATTTACGAAAAATCCTGCTCTGTTACAAAATTAACGAGCCCACCCCAGAGCCTCCTTCACCAAAAGATAGTGCAACAATCGATACGAATTATATAAAAAGACCATCATTGGACAGCTCATCAAACAAAGACAAGTCGCACAACGTGTTCCACGTGATCGATGAGATCGTCGATGCAAGTGACGAGAAACTTTTAGCCTCCATTTACCGTGAATCAATGCGCATGGATGGTGACGAAACTGACCGTACTAAGAAAGACAATTTCGAGTTTGTAGGCAAAGTGCAAAGCCAGGAGTTTTTAAGAGAAATTCTAAGTTTTGACCTCGATGGCTACATTAAGCAAAGGACTGAATGGCTGCAAAACTACACAACTTGTTTCGATTCCGTCATGGATGACATTCTCATGATTGTTAAGGGAGATGTCAATATGATGGATTGTTATTAAAGCATTTTTTTACTCTGCACGCCAATAGTATTTTTTCAATTCAAGATTAATTAATTACAGACAGCAGAATTCATATCTTTTATATTTTTTTTTATACAATGACCGTGCCTTATTCAATAATCAAAGTACACTTTTACTTAGGTGCTAAATGAAGCGGAATTTGTTATATGATTTCAATGAGTAAAGTAAACAAAAAAGAATAAGTTGTAAGAATAGTAAAATGAGTTTTGTATATAATATATTTTTATAGTATTTTGAAAATTTGATTACATTACTAAATAAGTCTAAAATATTAATTTTTTAATACTTTTTTTAATGTATATGTAATACAAAATATTATGATTTTGTTGAATATATAAAAAGTTATTATTCATTATTTAAATCAAATGCCTGGAAACATTATACATCTCTATTTCAAGTACTTATTGCTGTTTTTTGTTGACTTTATTTTTCATTAAATTGACTAAAACCTGTATTATTAACAAATCTAAAATTTTATGAAAATGTTTTTCATTTTACTAATGAAATTAATTACTTAAATTAAAAACGTGTTGATTAGTATCGTACTATTGGTTATTTATGTGGATTTTCAAAAAAAATAAATGACAAATATACCAAAAGAGGTCTTTATTTGTTAGTAAGCTTCTTACATTTCATAAGTAATTTCATCATATACAAAGCTATAGAGACTCAAATTATCATGAATTTCTCTATACAAGTAAAATAAAACAACTATTTCAAATAATTTAAGAAAACAATATGACATTTTCAACAAAAGTATTTGCAAAATTGAATTAATAATTCATTAAATAATCATTCTAATAACTTAATTGAATCAAATTCTAAATAAAGTATTCAAATTTATTTAAAAAAACCCTATGTTAATAATCATAAAACAAGGCTATATTTCAAAAAATAACATTTCAACCACTACTAATAAGATATATAAAAAATATTGGTAATACTTTACAAAATAGGCTTCTTTTTTATAGCCTTTTTCAAAACACACAGTCTTTTATAGTCCTCTAGTTCACTACACAGTTGATTGGCACTTTTTATAAAATCCTCCATAGTTATTTCTTTGATTAAACTTAACTCTTCTTTCCACTTGTCATTTATGTTGGAGTCCACCTCCATCTTAGGCTCTACCAGGGCTTGATCATCCGACTGACTAGGCTCTTCCTTGACTGCCTCCACTTTTGCCACTGGTAAGGTACAATCTATAGGAACGTCAGAGTTGTCAATCTTGTTGTCCTTCACTCGCAGAATGCTACTAGATAAATAGTAGAACTGGGAAGGTTTCTTGGAGAAACTGTTATAAATGGAGCGCTGATTTGTCAGCGAGCCACTGTTTTCCTTCTCCTGTGGCAGAGGAGGTGCAATAATCTTGACCAAGCCCTTCCAGCCGATGACAGACAGCGAAAGCTCTTCTGTTGAATGCTGATACGTCTGGTGCCAGTGGAGTTCGCTCAATGACGTTTTGGTCTGCTGACACACTACACACTGAAATCTAGTCTCCTGGGTCTTGGATTTCTTTATTGGACGCACATCTCCCGTGTTTTCCTGCAAAAGTCAAGTCGGCAATCAATCGCATACATGGAACGAAAGTTCGCGCGCGAACAAAAAGTAACGACGAGTTAAAAAACAAGCGAAGTTTCTCGCAAGTTGTTCGTAAAATTGCACCTCAGGTTGAGTACTCACCCTCTTCAAGTTGAGTATCCGATCGGTGCTGTAGTTCTGCTCGTCGGCGGGCATAGCGTTTGCTCGGACTCATTAAAAATTAACGAACTCAAGGACGCGTGAAGAAATAAAAAAAAAAGGGAGGAAAACACAAAGCTTAATTATTACACATCGAGAGAGCGCGCCGCGCTTTTTTTTCGTCACGCGAACGATGCGAAATGAAGGTTATGTCGCGCGAGCTGGCTCTATTGCAGCGCGCAACTACGTACCTATACCGCGTACGTTATATCCTTCTCTCTCTCTCTCTCACTCGCACGATCCAGATGTGCCTACAGATAATCTACGGTAAACGCGCAGAATATCATAGCTGTCCAGTACGTTGTATAATTTTCAGTATGTGTCGGCAGATATGCATACACTTGGAAATGTTTATTTCATAAATACTCAAGTGTATTTTACATATATCTGAAATTTGGACGATGCGCTCTGCGTTCAAAGTACAGCAGCAAGCGCTCGCACTCACCGTGCCAACCAGGAAGCTCGCCTTTACTTCATCGCGATGCGAAAGCATGCCGAATGAGCTGTAGATTATAATGCCGCAATTACCTGCAAACGTCCTTTTCTCGTATTAGGAAAGACGATATATGCAAAAACGCAACAGTAACATTTTTAGTTATTTCGTATCAAAGAAAAATCCATTATTTTATCTACAAATTGTCAGTGCTTTAAATACAGCCAGATTAATTAGATTCTCAACTTCAGGTGTCACCAAAAGAGATTAATTTATTTTTACTAGTCGGATACTCGACTATTTTATTTATCATTAGACGATGAGCATTAAGCGTACGATACTTATTGTTTTGATTTGTTAGCGACCTTTCGGAATGCTACGAACCGTGTTAAAAAAAATGGCGAATAGGACAGACTAAGTCAAATCACGCTCGATCAGAGCACAAAAATCGTTTATTTATCTATGGATTTTATTCGGCCGCGGACCTATTCACCGTCTTTTTACTTGAATATGGAGATTTCCGGAAGGGAACCGACCAACCAAAGCAATAAGTGGCATACGAGTATTGCTCAGCACCTAATAATAGATAAAACTATAGTAGTGTCTAACTAATAAAAATATACTGATCAAAAAAAAAAAAAAATATAGATAAATATATAGATGAATCAACAACTTTTGTGCGTAATTTAGTCCACCCTACTCGTCATTCCCGTTTGCTTAGTGTTTTGCACCTTCGTAAATTAAGTTGGTCAATACTCGCAATGCACTCATCCAAAAAAGCTCGTGGCAGACGCTTCAGCAACGCTAAACGGCGGCTTGCATTCAAGCAGATGCGCTGTGCCAAAATGGGAGGGGGAGATGGGAGAAACCCCTTCGAGATCGATTTTCCGTTTCATCCGAGGCAGTAAATGTAAAAATACCTTGTACTTTCTTATTTATGTGTACACTTCCAGCTGTGGCCGCGATTGTCTTGGCAACGATAAATAGCGCTAATTGCAAAATCGCATCATAATGCGAACGAACGTGAAATTCCGTGGAAACTTGACTGTATAGTCATTCCGAATAATGCCACTCGGGGAAAAAGAAGTAGATCAGCGTGTTCGAGTGTCGTTTCTTTCGCACAATGCAGCTCGCGCGGACTATCAGAAATAGCGCATCGCGTTCTCACGACCCGATTGACAAATCAAAGCGTCGTCGCCGTCGTCGCGGCGAGACGTCTTCTTTCGCGCGAGGGGGTGGGAGGGGGCGCCGCGGCGACGGCACAGAGGATTGTCTTGCCGCGCGCGCGCGCGCGCCGGAGCACCAAAATAGGCGCCGCCTTTGACCCAGATTTTCTCCGAAATGTAACTCTTGAATTTGTCGTACTTTCCCAGCGACCAAAAGGAAACGAAACGAGACAAAAAAATAACAGAAAAAAAAACCGTCGAGCACACGGCGTCGCATCGGCGCGAGCGAAAGATGCACGCTAGGGATATATTTATATGCGCGACCGATCGGTGGCGCATGCGTGCGTGCACACACACGCGAGATTCTCTCTCCGCGAGCAAGGCAAGGAGGCGTACAGCGGCGCGTCGGCTAAGTAAAGCTAAGGCTAAGCTCAGTCGAGCCGCGACACGCGCGCCGTTCTCTTCGCTGCCTCTCCCGTTCGACGCGCGAGCGAGCGTACGCGGCGAGGATCGCGCTGGACCGTCGCCGAGCTTTCGGCCAGGAAGAGGAAGAGGAAGGTGGGGCGCCTCGTCGACCCGGGAGAGGCATGTCGGACTACTTTCGCGAGAAGCCGCGCGAGCGTTTCGGCGACAAGTTGCGCGGCATGTCCGACGACGAGCTGATCGCCAAGATGAAGCAGCAGCTGGCCGACAAGGGCAGGCGCTGGGAGGCCCCGACCACGCGACTCGCCAGGGATCCCTTCGAGCGGCACGCTGCGTTTGCCAAGGTAAGTGGGGCCGATCGGCGATCGCCCCGGCGACGTCGCGCGAGGGTGGACCAAAGTGAGTCACTCGCTCGTGCGTGCACTTGCCGACCGCGTGCACGCGTGCACGTCCTTTCACTATTGCGCTGACTGGCGCGCGTGTGGGGGGCGATTGGCAAACCATACGATGGCGACTCCTACGATCGGCACCCTTCCACCCGTCGTTCGCTCGATCCACCGTTCGAGCTGCCACGCTATTTCTTGCCCGTCCCCCTGGGTATTCGGGATTTAACGCGAACGAAGCGGCCCGGACGGGGAGGGGGCGATTCGCGCTTAAAGGGGGCTCCCCTTCACTCCCTCCCCTTTGTCTAGCCCTCGTCGCCCTCGCACGAGATGTCAGTCGGATTGGAACTTGGCCGCGGTCGATGACTCGCGCGAGTAGCCGATGCGTCGTAAAAACGGCGTCCGCGCTTATTCAGCGACGAGCCCGTGGACGTCGATAATAACGCGCGTTCGAGCGTGATTTACAGGTCTCGAAAGGGAGAAGAAAGAGAGAGAGAGACAGAGAGAGAGAGAGAGAGCGAACCGCCCGGCGCGGCCAGCGGATTCGCAAAAGCGCACGCCGAGCGAAGCTTCTCGAACCTGCAGCTTGCGGTCGCTCTGAAAATAACGCGCGTCGCACTTTGGAGGAACCTGCACTCGAAATAATCCCCGGCCGGCTTTCCTCCCTCCCACTCGCCGAAGCGGAGGGAAGCCGGCGGCCGATGTCGCGGATTAATTAAAAGGCACGGACTCGTCGGCGCGGCGCGATCGCGCGGACGGCAAAACAAAGGCGAGAGCCGCGCCGCGCGCCGAGTCTCCGTTCGTCAAACTCGCCGCGGCGCAGCCGCGCAAACGAAGCGAGAGCATTTGTAACAATGTTACCAATTCCGTTGCGCGCGACGGAATGGTAATTACGACAGGCTATTTTAGAAGTGCGGCGGGCGCGAGCGTTGCACTGGACGCCGAGAGCGAATGGGTCGTCGCACGTGGAGCTTCGTGGGGATCGAAGCCGTGATGAAAACTCGAGCGAGAGAGAGAGAGAGAGAGGCCTCGGTCATCGCGAAAGGAACGCACAGAGAGCGAGAGATAGGCCGACGAAGGTCGCCTAATTGGATCGTCGAGGCGGACAAGAGAAAAAGCGAAGCTCGCGTGGCGCATTTAATGCCGACGTTCGCGTTACGCGTAACGAGCCGACGCTCGACCGCGGCGCGCGGCGACAAAGACAAGCGCAGAAACACTCGGCGACACACTTGGTCTCGTAATCGCTCGCTTTGTTCACCGGCAATTGCGACCGCGCGCCGCAACACGCAACGCGCTCCGACTGGAACCCTCGTTCTTTTCTCGGTGGCCGTGTGGGAGTTGACGACGACGCTGGTCTCGCGAACGCCGCGACTCACGATCGGCGTCTAATTGCTATGAATTCTCGCGCGGCGAGATGCCTGAGATTAGATAACAGGTGGAATTTGCCTCGGCGAAGGCCGAAATTTGGGAGGCGCGCGAGCAAACAGGCGGCGCTTTGTCCTCGTTATCGTCGGACGCGCGGCGAATCATCGAGAAGCCGCGAGGCGGAAGGAACAGGCGTCGGCGCGCGCGCGATCGGTTGCGCCACTTCGCCACTCCTCGGCGAGAGCGTCACCGAGGGACAACAAAGGGGCGTAGCACTCGCGCGTTTTCGGCGCGTCGGGCCCCGTTTATTCCCCGCCGATCGCGCGTCGCGCCGGAGGTCGCTCGGGCGCGCAACGAGAGTTCACGAGCCCACGTCGCGGAGCCGTCGCCACTCCCTGCTCGTGCCCCCGCCCCCTCTCCATCGCGCCGCCAAGTCCCACGTGCGAAAGTGGGCTCGCGCGAGTTGCGTAATCGCGAGCCCGCCACCCATGGCGGGTCCGCGCGAAGCGCACAGCCGATGGCGCCAGGCGTCGCGCGAGAGCGCCTCGGCCTCGACGGCGGTGGAGGTGGCAGAAAAAGAAACGAGAGAGAGAGAGAGAGAGAGAGAGAGCCACGCACTCGCGCGAGCTCCTCGCCTTGGCTGCGCTCCTGCTCGATCTATCGATCACGCTGGATCATCGATCGTAAGCGCGCGCGCGTATCGATGATCCGAGCCGAGGGATCGCTCTGCTTCGCGATCTTCGCTCGGCTGCGCGGATCGCTGGCGGCGCTTCGACTCCGCGCCGACAGATGGCGAGACACGCCGTCTCGGAGATCGGCTCTCGCGGCCGGGCCGCGCAGCAGCTCCGAATCGCCGTCGTCTCGCTTCCGCGTACCGCGAAACGGATTCGCGCTACGACGGGACGCGAGAGTCGCAGTGCCGAGATCGAGGTCATTCCTCCTCGCGCGCTTCTCGTAATCACGGGTGCGCGCGCATCGAGGCGTATCCTTGGTCTGCGTCAAGCGCCTGCTGCGTCAAGGCCGGCCGATGCGGCCCGGCTGGAGAAAGGCGAACGCTCAAAAGGCCCGACTCTCGCCGGCGGAGAAGGCGCGACGACCTTCGGACCAAAGGGCTCGCCGGCCGCGGCCGACGGCGGTTGCACGCGGGCTCGTACGCGCGACTACTGGAGCAGTCGTCGCCATTGCGGCTCGAATCGCGACCAAGATCAGTGTCGCGCGACGCCCGACCCGAGAAATCGAGCGCCGTAGCGAGCCGCAGCCCTTGGCGCAACGCTCTCTCGACGCGGGCAGGCAAGGTCGACCGATCCTCGCTCCGTTTCGTGGGCTCGTGATTCGGAGAGTCGGACGAGCGGCTGAATTTTCCAGGCGAGCTCGACAGGGACAAGCGGCGCGGCTCCTTGAAATCCGGCGAAAGTGAGAGGAGAGCCAGTGGCGGAAGGGCGACGTCGACCTTATTGCGCGCCGAGAGAGAAAGAGAAGAAAAAAAACCTCGAAGTTTGGCGACGACCCAGAACGTTTCGTCGCTCGAGCCGAGCGTTTATCGATACGGGTGGCCGCTTTCTTGGCGCTACTCGCGCGCTTTACCGAGGAAGTGCATCGCGTCGCGAGAGAAGGCCGGGCAAACTGCGCTCTCGCGCTGGCATTATTTTAAGCTCATCGACGCGTCGCAGGCAGCCTCTGCCAAGCGATAATCTCGAAGGCTACGCGTCGATAATCCGCGAGGATCAAATTCGCACCGACGAAAGTACGAGAGAGCACGTCGAGCGACGCCGGATGATGTATGTACCGTGACCAACGAGAGACATGCGCGAGAGACAATCGCCGCTTCGGCCCCGAAATTCGACGACGCTGAGAAAGTCGCCCAGCGCGGCCGCTTTTGGCATTGACCGATCGCGCCGAAACTCCAAGAGTCCGAGTCGATTTCTGGACGACCTGCCGTGGCTTTATTTGGCGGCCACTTTGCACCGACAGCCCGCGCCTTTCGTTAGACGCGAGCGCACGAATCCTTTGTCGCGCGACCTATTTTCGATCCGCTCGAGTCATCGCACGAGATGAGGGCAGCAAGTGTCCGCGAGCGCTTCGGGACAAACGGCTCAACATTCGCGCGATCGCGAATAACCGAGCGCAACCTTCCTAAAAAAAAAAAACAAAAAAAAGTCGGTGCACCGCACTGCCGGAGAGTGCAAGGCCGCGGCTCGCGTAACTCTCCGCGTTTCTTTCTCTCTCTTTCTCGCCAAAAGTACGCATCGACTGGAGAAGTTTATTTCGAGAATATGAGGTTTTTTGAGCGCACTGCGCGATGGTATTTTGAGGACTCGCGTTTTCGGAAAGTTTCCAGGTTGTACGCGGGCGCAGAACACGCGGAGAGACATTCATTGCATTTATTGGATTTCGCCTGCGTCCGATTGCCCCTCGGTTCATTTCATGTACTCGGTTTTGGCAAGGAATGCTACTTTCCTATCTAAACCTTTTAGAACGTAGTCGACTACAATGGGTACATTCGTCAAGCTTTCATGCAGGGAATAATAAAAGTTAAAATACGAAACAGGACGTGCGATTGCCTAAAAATAAACGCGAACTATATTAATTCGCGTAGGCATTTCATGCGTTTACTAGTTTGCTTGGTGCTTTATCCGGCGAACGCAGCGCAAATAAATATCCGTAGCGAGCGAACGCGTCGCCATAAACATCCTCACAAATCGTCTCCAAATATTTATAAGCCGCCGGATAATGTATTGATAGCTGCGGCGCGGTTGTGCAACTCAGCCAAGGACTACGATAAAAATCACCAATGCATCGACCC